TTGTCATCATGGCGGTAGAACGATTAGTTTATAAGAAGATAGAGAGTTATTTCGTTCGGGCTGTTCTGTTAAATTATACGTAATTATTCAATACAGGGAAACACATCTCCATTGTTGACTAATTGTTGTTGTTTACTTCCGTTTTTTTAAATTTTGGGTGTAATTGTTCGCAACACCAAAGGTCAAGATTATAAAGATGATAGGTACCAGAATGTTCTGTGTTTTCGAACAGCAAGTTAAAGTTGTCCCTGTTAGCAGCGGGTAACGGCCTATTTACTGGATAATGTCCAACTACAGTTTCATGAAACTTTGAGCATCTTAAAGTGTGCCACACCAAGTCGACAGTAGATGGCGAAGTTTCTTTCGAAACAATGAAAAGCTCACCGATGGTAGTTATTTGTCACCAGGTCTTTGAGTTTTGTATGGAAACGTGTAAGCGTTCTCGGAGGTGTAAGATTTCAAAGTTGATACAAAAATTAACAATAAGGAAATGTAGTGTTTGTTGAGATACTCGTTCAGTGAACAGCCAGTGTCCTTGTGAGATGTGGTCACCTCATGTGAGAGGCCCACAGTACGCTATCGAAAGCAACGGGGTAAAATATCGTGTTCAAGGGTACACGCTGTTTTGTAGTCTCAGCTTCCTAAGACACGCCTACCTCGGGATTTTACGACGTGAGATTGTAATGTCCGATACTCAACCGCCTCAGACATCGTCGCTCAAGAAATACAAAGGAAGGACTTAGACACCATATCTATTGAAATATGTGTCGGACATCATGTTAACCATCCAAAGTCAACATGTCTATGTTGATTTTTCCCTGTTGCTTATATATATCGTCACACTAATCATAAATTGTTCATGTTTGTCCGATAACAGCACAAAGCAGGGACTAAACAAACACGGGTGCCTTGCGATTGTAGACCTCTAACGACGGTAGTTAATCGCATGATTACTCGTGATCTCGGTAAGTATTGCTGGGTATTGATGTCGGCGCACTCAATTACAGGTCGGCCCACACATACTGTACGTGACACTTTATTGTATACGGTGTTAATTAGGGTATGTTTTCATTGGTACCTGGCCTAAGCTTCCTTTTTTGATTTATAACTAAGGGTTGATCACCTGAAATTGTTTTCTAAACGATCGTTTTTTGTCTTGTGTATCTGAGAGAGCGGAATAAGTTCGGATCACTGTAATGGTATACGTTTTAAGTGACCTACTCGCAAAACTATTTATTGATTTCAAATTTCCCAGCAAACTGAGAAAACAAACATAACATGTATTCTCGATTTTCGATACAGAAAACTCGATACCATTGGATCATGGATCATGGCGATTTTGATACCCTGGTACATTGCCGCTTTGATCTAGTCTAATAACACGGATAAGTCTGCTTACCTCGGGAATGACAGTTTCGTCATTGTAACTGACACAGTAGGATAACACCAATGATTGTGGTATTTCATTCCCAATAATTATAGGGCAATGTATTTAAACGATAAGATGGCAACGGGGATGGAATAATTACCACTCTGTCATAAAGACTGAAAAATCTCAGATCGCGGGATTTAAGTTGATCACTAAACCTAAAACTCTGCCTATCAGAGATACCAAACAGTTGAAATATAGGCCTCTCTAAGTGACCGTCAGTTTTCTGTAGTTTTATGATATACAATGTTTACTACAAAATACAAGTTCTTCGCGAAAACATCGCAGGCAGTACATATATCTTACTTCCACCATCAAATCTATGAAGAAACATCTTTCATTACATAATTATCTGTTATCCAGTAAAAATGTATTTTTTGTTTCTCACTAGAGTAATTTACGCTAAAGCTTATTTTATTGGTTGTGACAGTCGGATATCAACTGGACAATGACGTTACGTCATGATTTGTTTATGGCGCAACCAAATGGCTGCCTCCGTTTGAGTTGGTCCTCCGCATTTTATTTGAACCTGTCAAAATAAAACTTTACTGAGTCATGTGATAGCAAGCATCTTCATTCTATTTTCATTTCATACGAGATTTTACGAAACTCGTCCCGACGTTTTGATTTTTGAATGAAATCTTCTTAGACACGTTTAAAAAAAATATCGTATAAAACGAAAACTCATTTAACATCCCACAGAACGACACGTATTCATTTTTTCATTTGTGTGATGGGTCAATTTAGATACCACATCTAGTGGGCACGGAGAGAAAATAATATCATTTTTTTCCATTTGCGTTTTAAGTATAGTTAGTAGCTGAATGATCAGTGGAGAAACATGTCATTTCATCGAGGCATCGCCACCAAATCAACTTGTTGATGATGTCATTTCATCAAGGCATCGCCACCAATCAGCTGTTTGATGATGTCATTTCATCAAGGCATCGCCACCAATCAGCTGTTTGATTATGTCATTTCATCAAGGCATCGCCACCAATCAGCTGTTTGATGATGTCATTTCATCAAGGCATCGCCACCAATCAGCTGTTTGATGATGTCATTTCATCAAGGCATCGCCACCAATCAGCTGTTTGATGATGTCATTTTAAAATTCAGAAGAGGAATATACTTCATTATTGTGAACATAAATATATGTTACCAACTAAAACGAAGCCATGATGAATTACAAATGATAACTTGTGTCAGTAATGTGATATTGTGTCAGTAGTTTGTGTCAGTAGTGTGATATTGTGTCGATAGTTTGTGTCAGAAGTGTGATATTGTGTCAGTAATGTGATATTGTGTCAGTAGTGTGGTATTGTGTCAGTTGTGTGATATTGTGTCAGTAGTGTGACATCGTGTCAGTAGTGTGGTATTGTGTCAGTAGTGTGGTATTGTGTCAGAAGTGTGATATTGGGTCAGTAGTTTGTGTCAGTAGTGTGATATTGTGTCAGTAGTGTGTAGTGTGTCAGTATTGTGGTATCGTGTCAGTAGTGTGGTATCGTGTCAGTAGTGTGGTATTGTGTCAGTAGTGTGGTATTGTGTCAGTAGTGTGGTATCGTGTCAGTAGTGTGGTATTGTGTCAGTAGTGTGATATTGTGTCAGTTGTGTGGTATTTTGTCAGTAGTGTGGTATTGTGTCAGTAATGTGGTATCGTGTCAGGTGTCAGTAGTATGATATTGTGTCAGTTGTGTGGTATTTTGTCAGTAGTGTGGTATTGTGTCAGTAATGTGGTATCGTGTCAGGTGTCAGTAGTGTGATATCGTGTCAGTAGTGTGATATCGTGTCAGTAGTGTGGTATCGTGTCAGTAGTGTGATATCGTGTCAGTAGTGTGATATCGTGTCAGTAGTGTGGTATCGTGTCAGTAGTGTGATATCGTGTCAGTAGTGTGATATCGTGTCAGTAGTGTGATATCGTGTCAGTAGTGTGATATCGTGTCAGTAGTGTGATATTGTGTCAGTAGTGTGATGTTGAGTCAGTAGTGTGATATCGTGTCAGTAGTGTGATATCGTGTCAGTAGTGTGGTATTGTGTCAGTAGTGTGATTTCGTGTCAGTAGTGTGATATCGTGTCAGTAGTGTGATATCGTGTCAGTAGTGTGATATCGTTTCAGTAGTGTGGTATCGTATCAGTGGTATTTGATTATAAGGTATTTATATTCCGTATGACATCACGTATATTGACATCATGTTGATAAACTATCGATTTAAAATATTATCAAACATTATGACAAGAAATATTGTATCTTAATGTATTTCAATTCTCTCTTACAATGCTATTTTCTTTAAATAAATATATTTTGCACCAATATTCGCTCAAACGATAACAGAAATTCGTTGTTTGGAAATGAAAATTAGCGATATTTTAATGGAACTTGGAACATTGTCTTCATGCTGTTATACATATGATACAAATATTTCATGTCTAAGGATGTTTTCAAAAAATGTATTCTTATACTGCACAATTAAAACAAACGTGATCAGTGTCCATGATAACAACCATTACTAGGAACTGCAACAAAGAACAGTATCACAGCACTTGTCACCAACCTAAGTTTCAAAAGTCGAAGGAAGACTTTGAAAAATATTATTGGCATTTCGTAATATCATACTATGTAAGAAATATGACCTATCTTCCGATCCGCACGATGTAGTGTATTTAACATCCTGCTAAATTTAGCAAGGTGGAGGTAAGATGAGAAGATATATGTTCAAAGACAGGTCGAAATTCTTTCTCATGTTAAAAAAGGTTAAAGTATAGCATTTCAGTTTGTTCTTACGGATTAAGCACAAAGTAACCGTGATTTAATATAAAGTTTGGATTAAGGCTTGCTAAGTCGCCAGGCAGGTGGGTATATAGGTAAGGAATTAGTCTAAAGCTGTATTGTATTGGTATTGCCACGGTTGAACAACATTGATTATGTACTACTTTGTCAGCTTGTTTATGTATATTGAAGTTTTAAAAATCAATTATGTTTGAGATTTATTTTTAGATATACTAGTTTTATTAAACAAAATACACTATCCACTATGTGGTGGTAAGCGAGTATTGACATTTCAGCTGATAGAAATGTCACAAATTTAAGTGTTAACACCGAAGCTTTCGATACTTGATACTGGCAAGTCTAATGTTTTGATTTCAGTCCAATAAAGCTAGCACCAACTTTTGACATTATGATGATAACAGCAATAAACAATTACAAATAATTTGGATGTAAATATACACTTCAAACAAATTTGGTATCAAATCGTGCCACCATGTGTATCTCGTCTCCAATAGTTACAGATGTATGGCGAGAGTGAAATAGATATCATGGTGGCGTTTTCTATATTTAGGTTAAACAAAGCACGTAATTAAGTTAAAATAGGAGTGACAAATTCTATAGGGATCAAACATCAGACTTCGGAAGAGATATACTTATGTTATAACTTCTTTCGGACTTATGTTGAGTACCGAAACACTTCAAAAGTCATTGTTTGATATAATCTAATTTTTATACACAACAACATCCTTTCTTCTTTCAGATGGCTTGAATAATTTGTGTTTGGTTGATGGAAGAGAATGAAACATGGAAGTAGAAAGACCAACGCCAGATTTTAAGAACTACAAAGACAAAAGAGTAACCAACATCATCAACAAGGCTTCCCAGCAGTTGAGGATATCTGGTCTTGTCCGCAAGAATGCTGCAAGGCGTTACATAACGATAACCAACAGCCATGCCTCCCTGAATGCCAATGTCCACGCAAAGGCCGTTGCTAAGGGTCTTTTGACCAAGAACCCTAGCAATCTGGACCGCCAAATGATAAGGGGAGCTAGTAATCTAGAACGTCACATGGTAGTGAAAAAGACTGGCGAACTTGAACCACCACTTTCACGGAAACCCAAGATATACTTGAATAGAAACCGACGAACAGACGTGACCCGGGTTTCGAGTTATCCTGACATGACCTACAGGAGAGTTGTACACGCAAGGTCAATGGCAAGAATGGCTACCAGAACCGATATCCTTAAAGCCAGAGAGTTAATGACGGAAGTTATAGACCCTAATAAAGCCTCGACATTTTCCCTGACCAAATCTGATGAACCTGCCATGAGAGTTCGGCCGGTTATATCTCGGGAGTCCAGCAGGGTCGACAACAACGTGAAAATTACTATCAACAGGTACAATAGCACTGTATCTCCAAAACGATCCGATACCATTCCGAGCAGGTCGGATACATCGCTCAGCAGATCCGATATAATGCGTAGCGCTGACCAGTCTGCCACTCCAGCCACAGCCTCTAGGAGAAACAAAACCCACCCGGAGTCAAGCAGAGAAGCCACTATATTGTACAACACCAGACGTCCGACTAAAAACGCCAAGTCTTACCTGAAACCTGTACTTCCAAGAATGTTCTCGGGAAATGTTCCGTTTTTGTTCAAGCTAAATGGACCTATTCTTCTGACTGCACCACATGGTATAAAGTTATGGCGTGGTGGGACAGACGGAAGGAAGAAGAGGATACACTACAGAGAGATCTGGTCTACGGAGATTGTCCTCAAGTTGGCTGCCCATATCAACAAGTACATGGGTATTCCAGCCAGCTTCATGATATGGGACAGAAGAATAGCTGCACCGCTTGACCATAAGAATCTCGACCCTAACTACCTCACAGAAGAACAGCTTGCCATGTCGCCATGGCATGAAGCCCTTCTTCAATTCAAGCGGTTCGGAAAGCTTAACAATTGTCCACTTTTACACATCGATGTTCATGGAAAGAAAAACCGGAAAACAAACCTGGATGTTGACTTCGGTTTCAAAGCACTGGAAACTCGCTGGGAGGACCAAGGTTTTGTAGGATGGGTGAAATCCGAGGCGGAAACTTCGTTCAATAAACTGTTCGACATGCCTTGCTGTGAAACTAATGATGACACAAAGTATACAACTAACGTTAATCCTAGTCTGTGTGGTGACTGGGGAGGCGACCTGTACACCATGACTTGTCAATCGGTGTGTTTAGGGGTTCCCGCCTTCCAACTTGAGATTCCAAGGAGTATAAGAACACACCTGATAGATGATGAAATTTTCATGAACAAGTTTGCTAAATGTATAGTAGATATTTACCGGACATGTATCTCGTTAAATTCTGATGAAGAGTGTGATAGCAGAGTGAGAGAGAATAGAATTCTCTCGGATTACATTGACAAATTATTCAACGAACATCTTAAAATCCAAAAAGTGGCACGGGAAAAGCAAATTTGATATAACGAAATATTTTCATATCGTCGGAAACGTGGCAATAGTACAAGTAGATTAAATTAGAAGTAGAGATCGATACTCAAACAGATACTATAATTATACCAATTAAATTAGAAGTAGAGATCGATACTTAAACAGATACTATAATTATACCAATTAGAAGTAGAGATCGATACTCAAACAGATACTATAATTATACCAATTAGAAGTAGGGATCGATACTCAAACAGATACTATAATTATACCAATTAAATTAGAAGTAGAGATCGATACTCAAACAGATACTATAATTATACCAATTAAATTAGAAGTAGAGATCGATACTCAAACAGATACAATAATTATACCAATTAAATCCTGCCAATCTTTGAACATTATCTCACAGAACAACTGGGTCATCATAGTATACAGGTTTTCGACACAAATAAAAATGTTACATAACAACACTTTTTTTATCTCATAAAGACGAGAAAACATCCTGTGTTATATATCAACAGGTGACAACATCCTGTGTTATATACCAACAGTAGGCAACATCCTGTGTTATATATCAACAGTAGACAACATCCTGTGTTATATATCAACAGGAGACTACATCCTGTGTTATATATCAACAGGACACAACATCCTGTGTTATATATCAACAGTAGACAACATCCTGTGTTATATATCAACAGTAGGCAACATCCTGTGTTATATATCAACAGCAGACAACATCCTGTGTTATATATCAACAGGAGACAACATTCTGTGTTATATATCAACAGTAGACAACATCCTGTGTTATATATCAACAGTAGACAACATCCTGTGTTATACATCAACAGGAGACAATATCCTGTGTTATATATCAACAGGAGACAACATCCTGTGTTATATATCAACAGTAGGCAACATCCTGTGTTATATATCAACAGGAGACTACATCCTGTGTTATATATCAACAGGAGACAACATCCTGTGTTATATATCAACAAGACACTACATCCTGTGTTATATATCAACAGTAGGCAACATCCTGTGTTATATATCAACAGCAGACAACATCCTGTGTTATATATCAACAGGAGACAACATCCTGTGTTATATATCAACAGTAGGCAACATCCTGTGTTATATATCAACAGGAGACAACATCCTGTGTTATATACCAACAGTAGGCAACATCCTGTGTTATATATCAACAGTAGGCAACATCCTGTGTTATATATCAACAGTAGGCAACATCCTGTGTTATATATCAACAGGAGACTACATCCTGTGTTATATACCAACAGTAGGCAACATCCTGTGTTATATATCAACAGTAGGCAACATCCTGTGTTATATATCAACAGTAGGCAACATCCTGTGTTATATATCAACAGGAGACAACATCCTGTGTTATATATCAATATAAAAAGGTTACCTCCTTTTTTTACATAAATAAACAGAGATTACCTCCTCTTTTACACTTTGCCCTCTGTTACTCGTAGAAACATGGGACCTCAACTGTTATTAGCATTTGTTTATCTGCAGCCATGGTTTTGGTATATTTGTTTATTTAATTTGTTCAATTCTTTGTCATATTTGAAATAAATCATGTGTATTATCTCAATTTTAAAATAAACAATTATTTCTTTTTACAACAATTATATGTAACATGTAATCAAAGTGATTTTCAGCTTCAAATGGATTGATGTCATTTGATGACCCCTCCCCATCTCAAACAAAAAAGAGAAACTGGTTATATTAGTGCTCAGAAAAGTATTTAATTATTTGTTTTGCTGTTTGAGAATTCCATCCATGAGCAGAAAGTACACCATCCACTGCCTCTATATAGGGCAATAAGAATTCCTTTCCAGTTTTCTTGGCATCAAAGTCTTTTTCAAACTCAATGCTCTGTGTTTTGTTGACTTGCTCTTGGTAGTACCAGTAACACATTTCACCGCCGTACATCATCCCAAGTAGATGTGTGTCATTGAGGATACCTGCAACAATTCAACATAGATCATTGTTTCTGGGGACTCAGCAACACAGCACATATCTTATCACTGTTACTAGGGACTCAGCAACACAGCACATATCTTATCACTGTTACTGGGGACTCAGCAACACAGCACATATCTTATCACTGTTACTGGGGACTCAGCAACACAGCACATATCTTATTACTGTTACTGGGGACTCAGCAACACAGCACATATCTTATCACCATTACTGGGGACTCAATCACACAGCACATATCTTATCACCTTTACTGGGGACTCAGCAACACAGCACATATCTTATCACTGTTACTGGGGACTCAGCAACACAGCACATATCTTATCACTGTTACTGGGGACTCAGCAACACAGCACATATCTTATCACTGTTACTGGGGACTCAGCAACACAGCACATATCTTATCACCGTTACTGGGGACTCAGCAACACAGCACATATCTTATCACCGTTACTGGGGACTCAGCAACACAGCACATATCTTATCACTGTTTCTGGGGACTCCATCACTCAACACAGATCCAATTATTGTTTCTGGTGACTCAAACACACTGCACAAAATTCTATCATTGTTTGTGCTTAATTCATATATAAATAAATGAATTGTTTGCTTCATAAAGTCTGTCTTGACCTTATCCTTGGAAAGAAAAATGTGGATTACAGAGGTCATATTGGGAAGGAAATGTGGTCTATATAGTTTATATAGGGAAATTTAAAAAGAAATATCAATTGAATGACAACATTTTCTTATGAGTTAGATAAGTAATGTCGTCAGTGGGGTCAGATATGTTACATTATACCTAGTACTTACCCATATCCACCAGCTGTAGTGTGGGGTCTTTCACTGGCATTTCCTCCTTGTCTCTGCCTGGAAGAGGGGATGGCGGTGAAGGGAGAATGCTCTTTAACTCAACAATGCCTTCATGTACAAACTGAAAATAACCCGTTCATAGTAAAAAATGACAAATGATTCCCTTCATATTGGTGAATGTGTCAGTAGGTCTAACATTACAGTGCTAGTGTCAACAACATTACAAAGCTACATTACCCTAACCCAAGAAAGATAACTCTCATCAGTTACCCGGTAAACCTTTTTCAACAAGCCAAACTGACAAATCTGAATTATTAATGCTACATTTTATGTGTAATTTGCCAAAACCAAACACCATCTCTGTCTATATATCTCACCTGTATAAAAGTGGCACCTATCCTGTCAGCCCTTTGAGGATCCTCTTTAATTGTTTTACAGTACATATACAGTAGTGCTCCCCTCCTCCACACAAGGCACTGATTCATCTCAGAACCCAGCACATCTGCTACCTAAAGTGACACAACAGACATTTGAAAGAACAAGCAAATATCTGTAAGATAAGTATCATAAGGTTGTAAAAGTTGTAAAATAAGACATTACAATCTTAATAGAATAATCACCATAATATCATTAGGTGCTCAATGTTATCATACTATGGGTAAATATGAATCTGTAGAGTGGCTCTGAAGATATGGCATTGACTCAGAATGGGAGGTGACTTAATGTGACAAGACAGACATGGGGAAAAGGCATAAAAAGAATTCAACACAAATCCACAAAATTTTAATATAACATTAGCTATTCTAGATTGATACATGTCTACCTGATACACAGTAACCAAGTCTATCTGATACACAGTAACCAAGTCTACCTGATACACAGTGACCAAGTCTATCTGATACACAGTAACCAAGTCTATCTGATACACAGTAACCAAGTCTACCTGATACACAGTGACCAAGTCTATCTGATACACAGTAACCAAGTCTATCTGATACACAGTAACCAAGTCTATCTGATACACAGTAACCAAGTCTACCTGATACACAGTAACCAAGTCTACCTGATACACAGTAACCAGGTCTACCTGATACACAGTAACCAAGTCTACCTGATACACAGTAACCAAGTCTACCTGATACACAGTAACAAAGTCTATCTGATACACAGTAACCAAGTCTACCTGATACACAGTAACAAAGTCTATCTGATACACAGTAACAAAGTCTATCTGATACACAGTAACCAAGTCTACCTGATACACAGTAACCAAGTCTACCTGATACACAGTAACCAAGTCTACCTGATACACAGTAACCAAGTCTACCTGATACACAGTAACAAAGTCTATCTGATACACAGTAACCAAGTCTACCTGATACACAGTAACAAAGTCTATCTGATACACAGTAACAAAGTCTATCTGATACACAGTAACCAAGTCTACCTGATACACAGTAACCAAGTCTATCTGATACACAGTAACCAAGTCTACCTGATACACAGTAACCAAGTCTATCTGATACACAGTAACCAAGTCTATCTGATACACAGTAACCAAGTCTATCTGATACACAGTAACCAAGTCTATCTGATACACAGTAACCAAGTCTACCTGATACACAGTAACCAGGTCTACCTGATACACAGTAACCAAGTCTACCTGATACACAGTAACCAAGTCTACCTGATACACAGTAACAAAGTCTATCTGATACACAGTAACCAAGTCTACCTGATACACAGTAACCAAGTCTATCTGATACACAGTAACCAAGTCTACCTGATACACAGTAACCAGGTCTACCTGATACACAGTAACCAAGTCTACCTGATACACAGTAACCAAGTCTACCTGATACACAGTGACCAAGTCTACCTGATACACAGTAACCAAGTCTATCTGATACACAGTAACCAAGTCTACCTGATACACAGTAACCAAGTCTATCTGATACACAGGAACCAAGTCTATCTGACACAGCAAAAGTAACACAGCTTACCTGATATATTACAAGTAATCAACTGATAAACAACAGGTAATCAAGTCTAACTGATATAGCACAGGTAATCAAGTCTAACTGATATAGCTCATGTAATCAAGTCTAACTGATAAACCACAGGTAATCAATGGGGGATGGAGGCACAACGTCCCACAATCGAGGATATACAGTAAAATCTTTCAGGAACTGCCGCGGGCACAAAAAGTATACGGAGCCCTCACTAAAAAAAGTGTAGAATGTAGGTCGAGAGTGAAGACAACACAAACAGCTCCTTCCCAATTTACAATTCGTGCATCAAGTTGTTGACATGTTTTGGATCCAAGTGACCCGTCACCAGAACAACAATTACGGTTATCATGTCATCAATATGGGTTTACCCAGAGATATTCTACAAAAATTCAGTTAATACACTCTACAATTACCAACCTCTTTTTCTGGTATACACTTTTTGGAAAGCTCCATTACTTGATCAAAATGACCTGGAATTGAAAGTTAAAGTTAAACCATGCATATTAATACTTATCATTTATTGTATTTTATGTTCCTTGAAATGTTACTTGATTTTTTTTTTTTAGTGAAGCAAATTATTTCTGCTGAGAAATTGTTACATACCTTATTACAAAACTACAAATAAGGATGTCATCTTTAATCCTACTGGATGGAAAAATATTTTGTGACCATTAGAAGTGTATGTTTCAAGCAGGATATACTATTTAGTATGAATAACATACTTCAAAGGAATATATGGGCAATGTCATCAACAAACTTATAGATATGTAAGACTTTTTAAGTACATAAATGACCATTTGTTCGTTTGTTTGTCAGATGAATTTATTGGTTGTGGCCACATGCTACTTTACAGAACTTTCAATTTCCTGAGAAACATGAACTGCCATGTATTGGGATCCAACCCTATACTTCAGATCTCCAACCAAGCTATTGCTGTTCATCAGAATCAATGAAGAATATTTTGTCAGAAACAACATTATACATCATAAATAAATGATTGAAGCATTTGAACTTACAGAAGATCTTATGTATTCTTTCTTTCGCATTAATTTCTGGAAATTCTTCATTGACAAGCTGACATTCTTCATGATATGTGTAATCGAGCACTGCCTAAAACATTAATAGGTAACAATGTTTCCTTTTAATAATGATGATGTATATATAAACTGTATGAACTTTTCAATATCAAAAATGTCATGTTACTAATTACAAAATGTTGAAATTTATTAGTACCCTACCGGTGAAACCGGACTGGACTATAGTGTTTGTCTCTGTCTGTCTGTCGTTTGGTTTCCAGATGATAACTTGAGAAAAAAGATGGATGGATTTTAATTAAACTTTACTTATGTTAGCTTACAAGGTAATACAGAGTGGGGTTGAGTTTGGGGTGGAAAGGTCAACAAAAAAGGTTAATGTTGCTAAAAATTGATATTTTTCGTCAAATTATGGTTTCCAGATGATAACTTCAGAAAGGATTAATGGATTAGGTTGAAAATTCACACAATGTTAGCTTATGAGATAACACAGAGTGGAATTAAGTTTGGGGTCGAAAGGTCAACTATGAAGGTCAATGTTGCTAAAAATTGATATTTTTTATCAAATTTTGGTGTCCAAATGGTAACTTCAGATAGGATAAAAGAATTTGCTTGGAACTTCACAAAATGTTAGATTATGAGGTAGTACAGTGTGGAAAAATGATTGGGGCAAAAGGTCAACTACGAAAGGCACTGCTACTAAAAATAGACTTTTATCATCATATTTTGGTTTTCAGATGATAACTTGTGATAGGGTTGAAACTTGACATATCTAACACTATTAGAAAATATATAAGGTGGGATTGAGTTAGGGGTCAAAAGGTCAACTGTGAAGGCTGTAAAGGTTTCTTACTAAAATAGACATTTATCACCATTTTTAGGGCACCGCATCAAAGATACAGGAAGCAAAGTTTGTCAGAATAACACCATTAGTCAACTGACCAATATTCAAGGTCACTGCGTCAAAAGGGCAAGGTCAAATTTTACATCTTTTCATGTGTACACTGACCATGTAACTGGATGGATTAGATTTACCCTTAAATATCAGACACAAAGCCAGGTCCTTTCTGACATCTCATTGTTTTGGTCTGTTTTCCAGATAATCACTTAATTGAATTAAGGATAACAAACTTGAATAAAACTTCATACAGTATTAAGCAATGGGAAGTGAATATATAGGTTTTTTCCACATTATTTTCTGGTTTTTTGCTTCTTTCCTGTCAAAACCCTAGTTTTTGAAGAGGAGACTTAAAGTCATTTTCATTTGTTAAAATGAGACATCTGTTCATTACTATCAAGGTCTATGTTGTTTAGAACATTCAATTAACAGTAGGGGACAAGATTTACAGGCAACACTAACTGTACACTTGTTTTACAAGTATCTTGACCAAACTTTCAGCAAAACTGATGGAGAGTCATCAATGGCTCATGTAAGGCCATTCACAAATAACTAAGATTTATATCTTAAATATTCCAGACAATTGGTTCAGGGTATCATTTATAGCCAAATCATTCTTTTCTATAAGGGTTACTTTCCTTTGTTTTATTCCATCTGATGGTATAATGACAGGTTTGACAACCAAGGGCAGCCAATAGTAGTTAGTAAAATTACATCAAATTCTTACAATATTTCACCTACCTGCATAAAATATGAGAGTAAAGCCGTAATACAGAATTTCCTGAAATATAACAGCTGCATTGTGCTTGACACTACCTGGCATGGTTATCACCATTGGTAAAACTGCATTTAAACATCAACCTGCTATTACTTTTTTGTGAAAATCAAGTGATTACATTAAAACAATGTATGACAGGAGCGTCTACTTTATATATTTGTATCTACATTTTTCTCACCTGTGTATACTCTTGGATGAGTTTAGTGAGAGTCTGTGGAGTATAGACATTCGGGTCTGGATATCCAGCCAAACACACTTCACATCTTCGCTTGCTCTTGGTCAACAACAAGGGGTCAAGGTCACCTTTGGTAGGTAATAATAAAAACTATGAGCTTTAATATCAAAGCAACAAGCAGTGATGGAAATTATAGTCAATATAAAAGACATAGCCTTACAGGGAAGCAGAATTTTGGGGGTGTTGCAACCAAAATATATGTTATTGTTGCCTACAAGGCTACATTATGTACTCTGCCTATAACACCATATGAAAATGATACCGTAAAATAATTAATTTCATAGCATTAAAAACAAAACACGAAAAAAAGGCATTATTTGACTTTATGTGTATGTAAATAACAAGAGGTCTCTTTGCCTGCCATTATATGCTCTATAAACACTTCCTTTCTATTACTTCCTCCATCCTTTGTCAAATACAAGAAGTTTTCAATCACTCCCAGAATCAGAAAGGGACAATAAGGGACCAACAAACACCTGCAAATAAAACCTGAGAAAGATCCATTCAATATTTCTCACGTTAAATGTGATAATAAACTTTCATTCTCAATTTCAACATGGCCACCTTTCAGCCATTTCTTACCAGTACTAAAATCAAATGGGTACAACTCGGGACCAATGAGTAACCTATATTTGTAATTTAAGAGAAAGATCCAATCAGTACTGCTCCAGAAATAACAATAACAAACTTTCATTGTCAAGGGATAACCACCATTTTTTAGACTTTATTTGTCCTTTAATTTAGAACTTCAATTTTTCTTATTCTTTTCCATTCTTTCCTCTGTTCTTACTTTTAGTTATATGAAATTTGAAAATTTCTCTAGAATCTAGAAATAGGGATTATTATCTTAAATTGTCAATTCTAAGACAGTTGCCAATCAGCTATTGTTTTTCTGACCAGTCTCCAAATCAAAAGGGCAATACTAGGATTAAGAAGAACACAACCAGTGGATTTAAGTGTGACATTTTATCTATTCACTTTCCTTTAACTGTATAATACTAAGAATTTTTAAAGCTTAATACAGCAAAATGTTTTGGGCACACTATTAAGAAATTCTTCATTTTCAAAATCAAAGTTGAGCACCTGTCCTATTTTTTTAATCAGTCAAAAACGGACCCCTCAAGGGAGCCAAGGTAATTCACCCTTGTTTAATCTTTTCCCTTTTTTTCTCTTTTCTTCTCTCTTTTTGCTCTTAATGATAAGAAATTTGAATAATCTTTACTGCCAAATCCAAGATGATTGTCTGGAAGCCATTCTGCCCAAAAATCAGACAAGCACAACTAGGCCAAAGGGAACCTACACATGAGATTTGAGAAAGATCTATGCATTAGCTATCAAGAAATAGCAACAACAAAACTTTCAAAATGAAAATCCAAGATGGCCACATGTCAGTCTTTTTTTCTTTTTCTGAGCAGTCCCTTAGTCACATGGGCACAACTAGGGATCAACGGGAACCTACACATGAAGTCTGAGAGAGATCCATCATGTACTTCTCAAAAAATAGATACCAACCAACCCCAATCTGTCAAAGTCAAAATCCAAGATGGCCATCTCTTAGCCATTTCTGTCCCAAAATCAAACAGGCACAATAAGGGACCATGGGGAACCTACATATTAAATCTAAGAGAAATCCATCTGGTATTTCTCAAGAAATAGTTATAACATACTTTCAAAGTCAAAATCCAAAATGGCCATTTCTTGGCCATTTCTTTTTCTGATCAGTTGTAAAATCAAATTGGCACAACTAGGGACCATCCATTGTTTCTCAAGGAATAGCGATAAGTTTTACTAACTTTCACAATCAAAATATAAATATGTCCGTCGTTTTGTTTTTCTGATAAGTCCCCAAATCCTTACACTTTTTGCTATTTCATTTACTTACTTACTTTTTTATCAATTTCAATTTTTCTTATAGAAGGAGTAATGACCATTGGCATAGAACAATGATATGGCCAGCAAAGTTATCATTTATTTAAAGAACAATATCGATATAGTACTTAAAAAAATTAAATAAGATATCTTGTTTGTTTACAATAAGATATCCTGTGCGTTTAAAATAAGACATCTTGTTTGTTTAAAATAAGACATTTTTTCATGAGTCATCTTATTCAAAGTTTATGGGATATATGATTTACTAAATTAAATATATATTTATCAAAACAAAAAAGTTTAAAAATTAATGTTCCTGTTGTTATGCCATAGACTTAGATATACGTATGTCTAAGTTTGTGGTGTAGTCTTATCAATAGTATCTGATTTAAGGATAATTGTAAACCTTACTTCTTCAGATCATGTAACTTTTACTATGCTTTGTTCAATCATAAAAATGCATTTTTGTTACTGTTCTCGATTGAAATGATACAAAGCAGGAGCTGTCAGATATGCCTATAATTATTATTCAAGGATTCAGAATCTTTTACAAAATTGGTACCTGATTGGAAATTATGCCAGATCATGATCATCTTATCAAAACTGGGATTGACATGAACGAATGCCATTTCATGTGCCTTGTAAAGTATTGTCCCCTCCTTGTGTAATTAGACATGCATGCTACCTATTATACACCTTCTGTATTAGCTCAAACAATTAGCTAGGACCAAATACAAACTGATTTGGACTGTTTATTATTTTGTCACATGCAATGGGTTTTTAGGTTACTTTTTGTCTGGTGTCATCCGTCGTAAACAATTTACAGGCCCAGGGTCATGGCATTGTGCTGGTAGCATTCTGGGATATGGGGCTACCAAGTTTGTTCAAATAAATGACCTTGTCCTATTTTTAAAGTCACAGGAGTCAAATGTTTTGAAATATTTAAACCACTTTTTCTCAGTAACCAAAAAGTCCAGGGACTTGATATTAGCTCAGTGGCATGCTGGAATGAAGGGTCACCAAGTTTGTTCAAATGAATGACCTTCATCCAAGGTCATAGGTGTAAAAATACATGAAAATCATTTAAACAATTTCTTCTCTATAATCTTGAGGACCTAAGGTGTGTATTTTGTTGATGATATGGTGTGACGTGATATTGGTTGAAGTTGTCACAGTGGAAACCCTCTAATTACAAATTAATAAACTTAAAGTTAGTGTCAACATGAACTTTTGATGGTCATTCTTTGGCGTGTTGTGCTCACTAGCAAAACTGCATTTTAATTCCATTCAATGGTATACTTCTGATGTCCATAGAGAATGTACAAGCAGTACTATTTCAGGTTTACCTTAGACACAGGCACCAGTAATGCAAACAACACAAGCCAAAATCCAGCCCACTATACAGCATTGGTGTTGTTAATATTCCAGGTACACGTGCATGTGCCTTAGGTAACACATATGGGATGGACCTGATCAGCAGACATGTCTCAGCTTTCAAAAGAGCTCTGTTTGGTGCCCGCAGACCATAAAGATCGGCAAGCTTATCAATACTGTTAAACATTTTTTATTGGACTGCATTGACCTTCTGTCTACTTGAGAAATTTCTTATTGCTTCAAGTCTCAAGGCCGTTTTTTTTAAACTGTTGAGATTCATAAAATTCTAGGTTATCTAAAAGATGTTGGTCTATATTATAGAATATGACTTACCATTTTAATCTTTTGTGATAATGTAACCATTTAAGATTTTTAGCATTTGACTTTTACCATTTAGTTTGTTTGATGTTATTTCCTTTTTGGATCGCTATGGGTTTCATCGGTTGATGTTCCAAATGGCGTTTAATGTGTTGAAAGGCCGTTAACAGTAATAATAATAATGATAATAATACCGCTCACAGACAACAATTCATAAAAATAATGGTGATTATGCAAGTTTTTCTTTGAATGGTTCTGTATCGGGTAATTGTAAAATAGTACTAACGGTAAAACATAGTCTGAGAACGTAAGTCTGCTGTTTGATTGTTTACCTATAGATTTCAGTTCGTGCACGCATGTATCCTGTAATACACGTAAGTGTTCTCTTATAATTGTTCCTGCCATGTCAGAGGGTGGATTCGTCTGTTTGTTGTTGATTTTAAAGCCTATTACCTCCCTTTACACGGAAGCTTTCTATCGGAACATCTCGGACGATGTCCTAGATGTAAGGTACAAGAATTTATCGCGACGAGGTGTTCCGGCTTGAAAGTTTTTTCTCAAGGGAAACAACTGGTAATGACTGCTCCTATGTATCGATGTCGGGATTCCTTGCTGCAAAATTATAATTCACTATAAACTAATAATACCACTGAACAGTACTGTACATGATTTAGTTTGTCACATGCTAACACAAACAAACTATTATTCATTGGTATCGAACACAATCTATTTCCCATCCAATTAAACTTTTTGCAAAATCTATGCTAAAGCTAAATACTGCGTTGGAGATACAAGTGCCTGTGGTTGGATGGACTTTCATTGGGTTAAATCCTTTCGGTAATAGCTTGAGCCTTGCCTGCAAATATCATAACATTCCTGTATATAAAAGGCTCGCTTGATAACGAAGGACATCTCGCCTATTCATTATGCAATCTCTCAAAAAAACGATATTCTGGTAGCCATGCTTCGTATTATGAATGAATTATAATGATAACGATACGGACCTCCCCCGTTTTTAGTGGATCCATACACTTCACAAGAACACACATAAATGCCGTCTAAACCTGACAGAACGCCTTCGTTCTCTTGTCATGAGAGACAGGTGAACGGCGGTACAAATACATGTCTGTGAGCTATACTGATGCGTATGTCGTGAAAAATTCATCCAAGTCAGAGAAGAGATAAATAGAGGACGAAATCACTCAAATTATCGAGAGCATCTTCGTCGAGTTTGTTGTTGAGATCTTCCAACAGACTTTTGGAATACCTATGGGAGTAAACTATGCCCCGCTGTTGGCTGGCTTGTTTTTGTTTGCATACGAGGCTGAATTTATGGAAGAAGTTATCAAAACATGTCGCAAAGTCCTTCAATTTCACTTTGAGATTCATCAATGATGTCTTTAAATAACAAGAGATTAATTGACTACGTCTGTCGTATATACCCACCAGAACTGGAAATCAACGACACGACAAACTGTTCTTCATCAGCACCCATTTTCGATGTTTTCCAACAACGAAACAAACATGGACAGCGCTCCCCTAAACTGTATGATAAGCGTGAAGATTTCAGTTTCCTTATTGTAAATTTCCATTTCTGGATCGCAACAATTCTTGCATTCCCAACCGATTGTGTTTACTTGTCGCAGTTGCTTCGATATTCGAGAACCTGTTCACATTATCCCGATTTTGAGAAAGAAGTCGTCAACTACGGACAAACTCAAAACAAGTGGTTTCAAAAGATGCAAGTTGATCTAAATCACGGGAGAGTTTTACGGTCGTCAAAGAAATATTCTGTTCATGCTCGTTAGTTTGGCTGTTGGTTCCGTTGCTGTATATCATGTTCTCATTTGCGAACATGGCATTATGTTGTTGGATTGACAATGATTTACATGGCGGATGTCGTCGATGAACCGATCATGTACACATAATTGGATTCCCTTCCCCAAGCTAAAATGTCGTTAATAACACAATGTGTCTCTGTTTCAAGGATACTTCTGGTCCCAATCTGCTTCGTGGACTAGCAGCGATTTATAGGATTAGTTGGACAGAAGGACGAAGGTCGTTGCGGCATGCAATATGCTCGGTTGGCCCTTCGGGTCATTTGAGCTAAAATACTATGAAACTGTATACTCTCACTAATTCATAAAAAAGAAAGAAAAATAACTTCTTACTGAAAGATAAGCACCGATCTGATTATGATTCATGTTATTACCTCACTTAGCCCAGAGGTTAGGTAAACTTATGCATGGCACAGCTTCGTCGTCCGTCCAACGTCTCTTTGTCAATTCATTCCTAAAATTCACTGCCAGGTTTTGACCAAGAGGGGCATTTTTTGTGTGTAAATTGTGTGTGTGTCTCCCTTGGGAAATAGAACGCTTCTTTAAAACCCTTCACCTGTAAGAAGGACTCAATTCTACAAATTTTGAGAATTTTACCAGCAATCTCTTCCACGGACTTACTTTCTCTGACAAAACATTGCTAGTTACTATAGTAACTGGGGAATTCTGAATGACAACAAAATCATAAACATGTTACGCAGAGATGTTACACGGCACTTTTGTAATAGAACGCATGTTCCTGTCGAGCCCTCCGGCAGTAATGGAATCCCTGACTCTGGACTGACACGGCGTACCAACTGAGTTGAAAAAAACACGTTGTATCTGTTGAGTGACAGGTCTACCTCATTACAACTTCTGATAGATTAAGATAAAAGGATTGAACAACTAGATAATAATCCCTCGATCGACTGTAGATACAGTCCCACACGAAAGTTTGTAGGTAAAATGTCGACACGTAGTACCAGAGAGTAACTTATCAATGTACGATCAGCTTCATCTTCAGCAGGAAACAAAGAATAGCGCTAAAACACCACCATTCGATTGGAGCGGTGTATCCTCAGGAGTCCCCCAGGGATCGGTACTCGGACCAACAATGTTCATCATATACATAGTCTGAAGCTTATATTTTTGCAACTAAAACTAAATTATTTAGATGACATGGAAGTACTGATGTAAATATACCCTAGATGAGCTATGTTACCTGACAGCTTGGAGTGATAAATGGCTACTGAAATGTTATCCCCTAAAATGTAAGTCGATGCTTATTGGCAGGAATAACGATGAAAGAAAATATTACCTGAAAAGCGAAGAATTACAAGAAGTAGACAAGAAAAATGACTTGGGAGTAATTTAGACCAGTCTCTATCTTTCGATGAACATACAAGTACACAAGTTAAAAAAAAAACAAATTATTTGTTTGCATCAATAAGGTGAACCTTTCATTTTCTCAGTGAATACAACTTTCCGTTACTGTACAAGACACTAGATTAAAAATGCTTGGATTACCACAACTTAGTGAGGATATGATCAAAGCATTTAAATAACGAGCAATATATGCGATAACGAGGCAGCGGATTTTCATAAACGTATACTTAAATAGTTCTACAAATGGTTGATTTAGCATTTCCAAGCCATTAACAGTAGGGCTGAGAAACAGTATGTACATATCGAAAAATACCAAGAATTTCAATGTTTCTCTCTGCCCATATTGGATATTGGAATCCTGGCAAAATCTGAAAGATGGATATTCATAATGAAATGGAGATTCAGAATAATTTTCATGGTAAATGCAAGAAAACACCAAACCAAAAGGTAAGGTAATAGTGACTCCAAAGCTGTCGTGTTACATGTGGTATAATACTTCTCCCTTCACAAATATTCTGCCAAACGTCTGAACAATTACATTATATTAAAAAGCGATATTATCACTGTGTGATCATCCATTTGTCGTTTTCTTGAGTGGTTGAGTGGCGCAGTGGTATCGCACTCGCCTTTCACCCAGACGTCCGGGTTTCGATTCCCGTAACGGACGAGAAAAGGTATGGGGTCACCTGCCCGACCGCGTGGGTTTCCCCCGAGTACTCCGGTTGCCTCCCTCAGTAAGATTCTTTACGCACTTCTATCCGAGCCAACAAGAGCTATTAATATAAGCTTATAGCTTGTCTCGCTGGCAATTGTAAATAAATAAAATTCATATTATCTTATTTTTCCCTAATTTCTTGGTGGCTTTTGTAGCTGTCCATCACTAATGCAGGGAGTAAATGAATAACATTTCACTTAACCTTGCTTACGAACTTTTAACACTATGTACATGTACAAGCGATGACCCTCTTCTTTTTTCACTGTGATGATTGATCTGAAACAGAGGACTTGATTCTCCTTATAATTATATAAACAATACATATGTATCAAACAAGCCAAATGTTGTGGTATGCATCGATAACTGATTCCAGAATGAAATTCGCACGAAAAACTCAAGCGGAATATGAAGGAACAATAAATTTAAGTTAGAGTGTCTCCATTCATACTGAAAAAAAAAACCCGAAAAAAAACCACGCACTTCATTAGCATACACTTTCTGAACCTAACATGACAATATTCATTTAGTTTTGCAATATTTCATAAGCTGAAAAGGGAGGGAAGAATGTGTCGGAGCTGAAACGTATACGAGTAAGGAGAATCTCTGGTCAGGCGAACTAGATACGGCGTATTATATGAAATAGACTATAAGTTTCCTAAATTCCTGATAATTTATGCATAGACATAAATTCATACGCATTGACGCAACATGGTATAAGTCGGAAATAAATGGTATGAAGGTGATAGCTTTCATAGTACTTTTGTATAATATCTATGTATATAAACATCCTCTAGAACTTTTGTTGCCAACAGCAAAACAAAAAATGTGGATGTCAAACTTTATATTTGGATTACGTTTCGCAGCGGATGACTTGAAGAGAACAGCTTTAGGTCAACCATGACTTCAACGAAACTTGATGTTTGGCATCAATGTTTTTGTTTATTTTCTGCATTTTGCATTATCTGATGATCCTTAGAAGGTACGTTCTAGATTGTTAAAGCGGTCTTTGCATATTGTAGTTGTGTTTGGGTATGTGATATTGTTAGGAATCTTCAGAGGCTAGGAATTACTGCTGTCATAGACCATATACGAAGCCGAAGGTCGATTTTGGCCTTGCTTCGATGAAACTTTATTGGAAACATTCATAATTTTGATGGTATTGTCAAGCATGGTTACGTCCTTGTTGATGTATTCAGTTTATTTTGATGTTGTTGATGTGAAGGAGGTAGCAATGTGAATCGTGAAACAACAAAACGTGCCAAATGCTTCGCACGTCGGCATACAGACGTCTGTTTGTCGGCCATGTTGTGTATTCTCCGTGTACGCTTCCTGTTTTGACATAAACATATCACCACTATAATAACTACAAGCCGAAGAAATCCCGAATTGACATTCGATGTATTTTAATTTGAATGCTTTTGACAAGATATGTTGTTGCTTGCTAGGAAATTGTTGATTAGCATTGAAATATTGCATTAATCAGTCGGAACATACAAGTCAATAGGCCCTAGGGGTCACAACACAACGTCTAACGGAACTACTTTTGTGAAGGTCGATCATGCATGACGATTGATAGACCATGCACTATAATTGGATTGTTTCGTGTTAATTTCACGATTTTGTACGTTAACGCTTCGAAAGGGTGTAGCCTTGTTGTCATTTCGTAAATGCATCACCAGTGACATGTAAATCATTGTTGTCACGCAACTTCTTCGTTTATTTCGACAGGACGAGAAAATGAACGAAGTCACGTAGACAACTGAATTTGTCCCTTCTATAATGAATCGGAAACTATCAGCTATATAGGTCTCCGATAATTTGAAATAATCCTTTTCGATTTCTCATTATGCCTTTTAATATGCACATAAGGGTTGCAAATCCTTCTTACTTACTTCGTAACATACTATTTTTTCGACAAATAAAACTATCATGCCTGAAAAGAAATGGTACTTCAAATTTCAGGTTTCCTTGGGAGTGAAATAAGAGAGACCACTCGGCAATATGGAATCATCAAGTGGGGGGAGCAATACCCCAAAGATTATGGTTTTCAGGCCAACCATGGACGAATTTAAAGATATGGCAAAATATGTGTCCTACATGGAGTCCTGTGGGGCACACAAAGCTGGTGTAGCAAAGGTTGGTCATGTTGATTAATATCATGTTCAATACCAAAAATCTTACTGATCTCATAATTAAACATAATTGGGATACTTTCAACTAAATGCTGTTCCTGTATGTATAAACCAAAACTATGTCAGCAACACCATTGCAGAGAAAAAAATGACAGTGCTTACCAAACTTTTAAAATCATTACATGGCATTTAGTCTGGTAAACTGGGGAATTTAAAAGAAACTTTAACCAGACTGAAGAGCTTTTTATGCTTGTATATGCCATAAGTGAAAACTAAAATCACAAAATACAGATACATTGGGGCATGACTTTCAACCTTATTAGTCCTCGAAAGGAAACTGGAGGGGACTAAAGTTTTGCATTGTGTCAGTCCCTCCTTTAATTCTTTTATCTTGTTGGGGCCCTATCTTCCACACAACTTATCATAGGAACTCCATTCATGGGATATATATTAGCATTGGTGAGACGGTGTGTCATATATAGAAAATATGACATTGTGACCTACAATTGGACCTTTGACTAGAAAAGAAAATATCTGTTCAGACACTCAGGTCACTCAGACCTACATTTTGACCTTTGACTTGCAATAGAAAAACAAGAAAACATTTCTAGGCCTTTTCTTTTACTTTTAATTTCATGGAAACTTAATATTTGGGACATGGGTTCATCTTGCTAAGATGTTGTGTTATGTATAAAAAGTAGGTCATTGTGACCTACATATTAATTTCTGTAGGATTTTTTTTCTGATGAGTCCAGATTACTACTTCCAAAATTTTGATAAGACTAGTTACAGTGAGGTATAGCAGGATCTCAAACTTTTGATGTCCCACAGTGAAAGTATAAATCTGGAACTCAAATATTTTAGTCCCAGTATCAGTTGAATTCAAGACATGTTTGCCAATAGTACGTTAAATTGGAAAGTGAAATGTTGCAATCTTTGATTTGGATGCAGTATTAATATCTGAATGTCATTGTTGAATTTCTGTGGCAGTACCATATTTTCAATTTTTTTTTTTTTTAGGTTATACCACCACCAGAATGGGTTCCAAGAAGAGGGGGCTATGAGGACTTGGAAATGACCATACCAGCCCCCATCACTCAAGTTGTCACAGGATGTCAGGGTCTTTATCAACAGTACAATATACAGAAAAAACCGCTAACTATCAAAGAATTTGAGAAACTAGCAAATAGTGATAGGTAAATAGCAAAGATGTAGAATGATACATGTAATTAGAAAACTACAAATTCTTCAAAAGAAATCTGAAATTTAGCAAATTTGAGTTATTGTTCCAGTGAAAGAGTTTTGCCTTGTGTTAGAGCTGAGGGATTTGAAATCTAAAATCTAAATTTTTCCCTGCAATTATGAGGCTCAAGAGGCCAAATTGTAAAAGTTTAACTGTAACAACACATAGGAATTCTTTTTACGGTTGAAATATTCACCCCATCAGATGTAAATCTCATTTGTACAGTTTAAGTTGGCTTTTCAGATTAGAAATGTTTAAAAACGATAATGAATAAATCTGTTTGAATAGAAGAGTATTACAAAGAGCGTTCAATTTGTAGGTATCGAACTCCAAAGCACTTTGACTTTGATGAGCTGGAAAGAAAGTACTGGAAGAACATCACATTTGTAAATCCAATCTACGGTGCAGACATTTCTGGGAGCATCTATGATGATGATCAAGAGTACTGGAACATTAACAAGCTGGGTACAATTCTGGATTATGTGGCTGGTGACTATGGAATCAAAATAGAAGGGGTCAATACAGCCTATTTGTATTTTGGTATGTGGAAGACAACTTTTCCCTGGCATACAGAAGATATGGATTTGTATAGTATCAATTATCTACACTTTGGTGCCCCCAAGTCCTGGTATTCTGTACCTCCAGAGCATGGGAGACGACTGGAGAGACTGGCATCAGGTTTGGATATTTTACCTATTTTCTAGTATAAATTGATAACAATTTTTGGTAATGACTTTCCCAGTTGAGTATATCGGGTAAAAGTCTGATTTTTAGCTTACTTAGTCATACAAGGTGGACTGATCAAATAAATTTTTGTCCAGGGTCAGTCAACCTACAAGACAATTTCAATGTATGTTCATTGATCGGAGGCCAAAAATTGTCCATGATGCATTGTCATCTATCTGATACCAAATTAACTGATTAAAATGTCGGAGAAGTATTTCGAGCATTTTTGAATACAATTAGATACAATAGATTCATTCAGATTAAAAACAGATCAAAGTTCCAGGCATGTATACATTAAATGATATTATGACTTTTCCTGCAGGGTTTTTCCCTAGTAGCTCTCAGGCATGTCCCGCATTCCTACGCCACAAAATGACGCTTATATCACCAGCAATACTCAAACAGTATTCTATTCCATTTAATAAGGTTGGTAATTGCTTTCTGATTCTAACTACTGATGCTTACAATGGATATGTTGAAATCAAATAAAGTGAGTGGATTAAGTCTTAAAACAGACGATAACTGAATTGGCAGCCTTTATGTCATTGCTTGGGCTCTACAGGTAGCCATCAGATTGAATGAATGTTGTGTAAACAAAATTTGAATTTTGAGTACGGAGAAAATTAAGGAAAAAGTCTATGAAATGTTGGAAAAATTTGAAATAAATGCATTGTTGAGAACATTTTAAGTGAAAAGTTTGTTGTATTTTATTTATGTAGCTATTGATTAAAGTAATTTTTCACGGGTTACAGAAATCAGAAAGTTTAGACTTTCATGTACATTAACAATATATCTTGGTTCACAACATTGCCTAAAAGTATTGCTGCTAAATATATGTCTTGTGTATTGAAGATTACGCAGGAAGCTGGTGAATTCATGATAACCTTCCCATACGGTTATCATCAGGGATACAACCATGGCTTCAATTGTGCAGAGTCAACTAACTTTGCTACAGAGAGGTGGATAGAGTACGGAAAAAGATGTTTGCAGGTAATGTTGCCAGATTGTCATTTAAGAAAAACTTGATTGATAGATAAAAAAATGTTCTTGGATTAAACCAGTTTTGCTAGCTCATCTGAGTTAATACCACAGTGTTGTCTGTCAACAACTTGCCCTTAACCTTACAACCTATTGCATTTAATATAATTAGACTGAAAGCGTCCCCAGGTGGTGGTGATTCAAACAGGTGCAGATGTTGCCTCTCTGAGGGGTTTAGGCCAGGGATAAAAGGAGGAAATCTGATCATATTGCAATAAACAACTTCTTCTCTAGAACTATGCACTGGATTTCACTCATATTTGCTTGGAATCTTTCACAGGAGGTGGAGATTCAGAATTGTACAAATGGAAGGGCTAATTCTTCTGGAGGGCTTTAGAGCAGGATCAAAAATAGGAAATTTAATCAATCTTTAAAATCCTTCATATTCAGCAGGAATGACTATATATATATAATTTGAGAAAATTTGGTTGAAAACATCCTTGGGTGAAGTGGAAGAAGTATTTTATAAACAGTCGGGCCAGCTCTCAAATTTTGTTTCCTACGTAAGTTAATCTTTGTCTTTATTTGTGCTTTGCACATTTTAGGACTGATCTTTAAAACATGGCTGGTAGGCAATTATTGCTAGATCTTGAGGAATTTTCAAAGTTCATGTAATTGAGACCAAAAATAGAAGAATGAAAAGAAAAAGATGGAGAAGGCGTTTAGAAAAATAAATATCAGATGATGGTGTGTGCCAAGATCCCTTCAGGAAATATTGTATAAACTGTGGGTCAGAATCTGCAACCTCCTCCCTTCCCTCCCTCCCTCCCCATCCCACCCCATCCCACCCTACCATCGAGGCCAGAGGAGTGGGTCTCAATAGTAGTAAATATGGATTTCAATCTTTATGATACTTTTATATCTTTTTGTTTAAGTGAGGCAGTTTCAGCTAAACGAAATGAGATGAGCAATATGCCTCTTTGTGTTGTGGGTTGATGAACTTATAACTTGTTTTTCAGTGTAAGTGTCGTAAAGACGGTGTGAAAATCAGTATGGACACCTTTGTGATGAGATTCCAGCCAGAGCGCTATGCTTTATGGAAAGAAGGAAAAGACATAGCTCCCCACCCAGAAGATGACCAGAGCAAGCTCTACAAGCACAGGTACATACAAATGAATTAATCCTTGGGCTATTAATTGTTTATTAAGAAGTAAGGTTTGCAAGTTGAAAAAAAAATTGGCATAATTGTAGTTTCACATTTTCCTGTGAGGAGAGGGTAAATTTTAAGTTTATTAACTCACTATTTTAAAGTTATTTCAATTACTAATTATGTTTACTATGTTAATTATTATGGTTACTACATATCAGAACATGTCTGATATCATGTATCAGAAGAAGGTTGTTCTTACCTACATTTTAAACTTTGGCTTTGTGTCGTGTATAAAAAGTGGGTCATTGTGACCTACAATTTGACCCGGATCAACGAAAAAGTTTGTGCAAGCTCTATCTCCTTAACTGCTTGTGACTGGAACTTGATACTTGAGGTATGGGTTGACCTTGGTGAGGCATTGGAACACTCTAACCTACATCTTCACCTTAGACCTATATGAAACAAAAAAAATTGTTTGGGCTCTTTCTCCTACACAACTAGTCACTGGAACTACATACTTGATATATAGTTTACTTGGTAAAGGTGTGTGTCAGTGAGGGATTGTGATTTGCTGAATTATTTTGTTTCAAGTGATAATTAATTTGTAGTAAAAATGCTTTTCCGACAAGTTTCATTTGACTACAGTGCAGTAGAATAAAATTTTCTATTTTTGTACTTTTAGGGACAAAAACATTGCAAATAACTCGGGCACAGTGTCAAAAAGACATCCAATTTCCAAGTCCACATCTCCAAAGAAAAAAGAAAGTGTGAAAGAGGAAAAGGAAGAGTCGGATACTTCTAAAGAGAAAATCAACAAAGAAGAGGCGAACAGTAATGAAAGTTGTGTGGAAGGAGAAATGGATGAACAAGGTGAAAAGGGCAATGAACAAGTGGATAAGGATGATGAACAAAGTAGGGATAGTACGTCTGATGAGAAAGGTAGCAATTCTGACAGTTCAAAAAAGAAAATTTCAATGTACTTGAAGGATGTGCAGAAGGCCACTGCACCTGCTAAAAAAGTTGCCCCTAGCTCATTTCAAGCAGCATTTGAGTCACTTGTTACAAACAATACAACATTTCCAAAGCCGCCAGTTAATATTGTTGATGGTGTCCCAGTTAAATTGAAACAACGAAAGCGAAAATCAGAGGAAGACAAAGTTATGAAAAAAGTGAAGGAATTCTGTCCAATGGAAAAAACAAAGGAATTCCTACCAACTGAAAGAGGTGATGCTCCTATGTCAAATTCAGAATCAACTGGTTCTGAGAAGGTGATAATGCAGAACGGAGAGACAAAGCAACAGATTGTAGTAGTCCCCAAGAAGAAATCCAGGAAAGATGGACATTCCCCACCAAAACGTAAAAAACAAGTTCAACATCCACACTCTGCTTACCCATTCCTACCTCTTAACCACCCTTCATCTACTTCTATGACAAAGGGTATAAAGGATGAGTCTGATTTTAACAGATTGAACTTTTTGATGCCAACTATTAGATGGATTAAACAACAACAGATGTTACAGAACTGCAGCAACAAAGTCATGGGATATACCAGTGGGAAAAGTGAAGAAATACCTTTTGCCCATTCCTCTGGTGTTTCATTTGAGGACTTATTGGCAGCTCAAAACAGAGACATTAAGTGTGAATCTCATGTCTTATCACATTCGAAAGGAAACCCAGTAAAAGCACATGGATCATTGCTCCATAATTATTCACATCCTGGTACTATAGTACCCCCTAACACATCAATGACTGTTAATGTAGCTACTTTGTCATCTGAGATTAAAGAGGAAACAGACACAGAATCAGCTCTGGACTTATCAGTTGCTACGACTACAAATACTGTGACATCTTCAGAATCTTTAAAGATTAGTCAGAGTACTGCTTCTCCAGTAAGAAAACAAATAGCAGCACACTTGTCTGGTTCTAAGAGCCTGCCTCCTTCTAATTCAGTTGAAAAACCAGTGGCAGGACCATCAACTACCAGTTCCCACATAGATTCTCAGGCTGTTTGGCCGACACCAGAACAGCTCAAACAAAGTATCAAACTCACTGGACCTCAGCACAATCTATTTAACAGTTTTAATCAGGCTTTTGAGTTAGCACAAAGCATGTTGAACAAGAAGCGAGATGGACAAGAGCAGACTAAGGCTAGTGAAACTTCACATGTATTATTGTCTTCAGCTGATGCAAATCCACTTCAGCCTTCAGTTCAAAATCCTTCAATTTTGAAACAGGAAACTGGCTTTGATAAAACTTCTCCAAGAAAACCTTCTACTGGTGATAATAGAAGTTCTCCTGGCCATTCTCAGTCATCTCCAACAGGTGGAGTGCATTCATTGACCTTTTCAAAATTAGTTAGCCAAAGTCAAAAGGAACAGAAGAAGTTATCAGCTGAGTCACCCAAGCCACAGACAAGTCTGTTGCAGCATAAACCTTTGTTAACCTCACCTACTCAAGGGTCAGTATTTGATAATTCTTTGAACCCATCAACAACATGTCTATCACGTCCTCTTGGAACCAGTGCAGAATCACTTAGTCGTCATTCATCTCCCTCACATGCCATTGGCAGTCCAAATATGTACACTCCTTTGTCAAGTATTGCTCAACATTCACAGCAACAGAATCTTCTTCTCCAGTCAGCCAATCAACAACAGCAGACTTTTTTAGTCAATATACCTGTGATGCAAACGCCGCAGCCTACTGGTGGTATTACTGGCACTCAGTCTACAACTACCACTACTAGGGCTTCACAGGTTCTCCCTCACGCATGCGGCCAAGCTGTAGAAACAGTTGATCGTGGGGGAAAATCTAATGATAAGTTAACAGTCAGTCAGATTCTCAAGGGTAGTAAAAAAGCAGCAAAGCCTATCCTTCCTAATAAAATTATTGTGAGTAGTGCACTGGGAGGCAGCCAGCTTATCCAGGTTGGACAACAAACAGTCAGTATTCCAAAAGGCAACTCACAGGCAACTAAGACAGTCAATGTTGTCAATATGATGCCGACGTCCAGTACAGGAGGTGTTTCTCTGCTTTTGTCACCAAAGTCAGGAACAAGTGGAAAAGTACAGATGCCAGGAGTGGTGTCCCGACAGGTGATTACCACAGGACTGTCTACATCAGTGCCAGGTCAGGTTTTCACAAGAACCTTGCCTACAGCTGCCTCGTACCAGGTCATTAGTCCAACACTTTCTGCATCTACCCAAAAACAAAACACCACAGCCCCACCACGTCCTGTGATAACAAATGTTGTGGGGCAATCACAGATAACGGTACCCATAATACAGTCCCCTACAGCTTCTTCTGTTGTAGCAAGAGCTACACCTGCTGTCTGTCAGGTGACCTCAACTGGTAGTGTTGGTGGTGTTCTTAAGACAGTAGTAGGAACTGTTAGTGATCCAACAAATATTCGACCAACATTGCTTGCACAGAAAACTAAAATATTGCCGCAGTTTGGAGGACAACCAAGATTTGGGACAACTCAATTTCTGTTACAAGGTGTCACTCAAATACATCCAACACAAAAAGTGTTTCAAGTTGACCCAAAGTCTCCTCATAACTTTAAAACTGTAGTATCATCCCCATCTTCATTGGCCACATCCACCACTATGTCTATTCCAAGCAGCTTGCTGTCCCCTGTTGTATCTACATCTTGTCTGTCCACGCTAGATTCGTCCCTTACTGTGCTAACAAACACGGATGCTCTGTCAGTCCACAATTACAGTGACAGTGGTCTCAAATCTGCCCAGCAGGACACTGACCAATCATTTGGCACTATTGTCAGTCCAAACAAGGTGCTACAGCTTGTACCTCAGCCTATTGTGCCAATATCTCAGGCCTCCTCAGTGGCCAATACTACTGTACTTGCCCAGAAAGGCAAGCATAAACCAGACGCTGTGTCCAAGGACACCTCTGAATCTCCAACCAAAGTACAAGTCATTGATAAGGAGAGTGGGAGTGGCTCAGATGAAAACTTTTCACCCAAAGAGAAGAAAAATTCAGGAAACAAAGTAAGTGTGCAGTCCCCTTCAAAGCATGCTAACTTTTACAAAATGGTTGGATCAAGTCCCGATGTCAATCAAACAGTGATACAAACTACAAGTTATAGTGCTTTCTCTGGAAATTCTGAGAAATGTAAAAAGCCGAAGTCCAGGAAGACCGATTCTACAAATAAAAACCAACAGGCAAGTATTTGTAGAAACTTTCAGTCTTCTTAAACTTTTCATTTGGAAAGCATTGCTAGCAATTCCAGAATTCTTCACAAGTTATTTAACCTGTTTTAAGTACATGCATCTTGTACCCCTGTCACTTTAAAGTAACAGGACAATTAAAAAACACAGCCAGATAATACAACCAAAGTTAAAGATTATGATTCAATTGTATAGGATGAAAGAATTTAGTGTATCGCACAATGAAAATATTTCATATAATTGATCTATTTAAATGTTAAAACCTTTTATGTTGTAAATTGGGTATGTTAATTGATTTCAGCTTAATGATCTATTCTTTAGGTTTGTATGTTTTTTTTGTTTTTGTTTTTTATGGTGTAGACTAATAAGAAGAGAAAATCTCCCTTAAAGCCAAGCCTGGGAGATGGTCATGAGGAAAAAGTGAGGAAAATGTCCACTACAAAGAAAAAAAAGGAAAACTTGTTGACTGTAGACAGCAATGGAACTTTGTCACCATCTGAGGAAAAGAAATCCAAAGTAAACAAGAGTGTTAAATGTCGACATCCAAGTAAAGGAGAGACAGTCAGAGCTAAGACTAAGAAGGACGTAGAGAACAAGAAAGAGGTCAAAGGTATCACTGTTTAAGTTAACATCATTTGAATAAACAACCAATGGGTAAATACCATATTTGCCATATTTGTTCCTTGAAGTGCATTGCCCCTGCAGAGGTATTGAAAGTATATTAGCACCCCTACAAGATTTAGCACAACTTCTAAATGAATTATATTTTATAATCATAATCTGCCAGCTTTAGGAAAGCTTTAGGAAAGCTGGCACATTCTAACCTTTTCTTCTGCCATTGGCAGCGAGTTTAAGGATACCTGCCTTGCTTATATATAAGAAAAGTACCTTTTCTATTTACAAGCACATTACGTCACTACCCGCAATTCCTCTGCTTCATTTCCAGGATGAATACCCACATATACAAGAGTATGGCTATAGTTTTTCAATCAAAATTTATTTCGTTTTTACATGTTTTTTTTTTGTAGCAAATGTTAGCGGGCAGTATTTTTGTCTATTATTAGTTGTGTGATATAAATTGAAACATCGGAAAGGTCTCGCAGACTATTTTTAAATTGAAAGAATTAATAAAGGTGACATTGGTCATGCTGTAGAACTTTGGGAAAAAAAGACATGTTATGAATTTAAAGTAAGATTCAGTCATATTGGTATAGAGAGAGATCACTTAGTTATTGACAGATGCATTAAAAGTTTAACTATGGATGTGGATGTTTTCTACTTAATGTTAATTCAGAGAGAAAACTTGTATAATCCTATTTAAAGTAAACATAACTTAAAGGGATGATAAATGTACAGTACCATGTAAAACACATTTTTTTGTTTCTACCTCTGGTAGTACTTCGATGAAATTATATTCTTTGTTGTCCTATTAAGGACATTTTTAACTTGATATTTTACTGAATGTGTTTATAGTACAAACTGTTGGATTATAATGGTGCACTGCAGTGCACTGAAAAAAGTGATATATTCCTTTGGTGAATGCTAATGACTCGGCTGTCTCTCATATAATCTGTTAATCAGTTCTCCGTAACAAAACCTGGAATATACAACCATCCTGACACATTATAGTTTCTGTTTTCACATACAGTTTACTGTTAATTGGACTTGGTTAATTGTTCTATGTGAATTTTTTGTTCAGCTCAGTGTTGAGGTTTGTTCCCTTCATAGTATTTAAGCTGTCATAACAAAATCTGTAACATATTTATATCTATATGTGGTCATTCCAACACATATTTCAGATTCTGATTTTTAGATACAGTTAAGTGTTAATTGGACACAAGTATTTAAGCTGTCCTTCACATTATCAAACTTTAAATGAATTATTACTATAAGTTATGGCAGAAACAAATGCTCTCCATAATTGAAAGTGTCTTAAGGTGCTGTACGAAAATTGTAAGTTACATGTCCCCAGGGTCTTGTCATGAGAGGGTTAAATGTAGTAAGATTTCAAGACAATGTTTTTTGTATAATATGTAATTTCCAATGTAAAAATTCAATTAGGTTATTGATATGGGTTGGCAGTCTTATGTTATACACATAAACATTTGCATTTCATATAATTCAGATTTCTTTTATTTGTTGACAAGATGAATTTGATGACAGGTAACAACAGCAAAAAGAGGAGTTTAATTTCCATAGAATTCAAGTGACTCTTAAGGTCAGTTGGCCTCTTGTTACTGAAGTTGTCGTGTTGTATAGAAATATTTTGTATGTTGGGTAGTTAGCAGTCAGTTGGCCTCTTGTTACTGAAGTTGTCGTGTTGTATAGAAATATTTTATATGTTGGGTAGTTAGCAGTCAGTTGGCCTCTTGTTACTGAAGTTGTCGTGTTGTATAGAAATATTTTATATGTTGGGTAGTTACCGGTCAGTTGGCCTCTTGTTACTGAAGTTGTCGTGTTGTATAGAAATATTTTATATGTTGGGTAGTTAGCAGTCAGTTGGCCTCTTGTTACTGAAGTTGTTGTGTTGTATAGAAATATTTTATATGTTGGGTAGTTACCGGTCAGTTGGCCTCTTGTTACTGAAGTTGTCGTGTTGTATAGAAATATTTTATATGTTGGGTAGTTAGCAGTCAGTTGGCCTCTTGTTACTGAAGTTGTCGTGTTGTATAGAAATATTTTATATGTTGGGTAGTTACCGGTCAGTTGGCCTCTTGTTACTGAAGTTGTCGTGTTGTATAGAAATATTTTATATGTTGGGTAGTTAGCAGTCAGTTGGCCTCTTGTTACTGAAGTTGTTGTAGTGTATAGAAATATTTTATATGTTGGGTAGTTACCGGTCAGTTGGCCTCTTGTTACTGAAGTTGTCGTGTTGTATAGAAATATTTTATATGTTGGGTAGTTACCGGTCAGTTGGCCTCTTGTTGCTGAAGTTGTCGTGTTGTATAGAAATATTTTATGTTGGGTAGTTACAAGTCAGTTGGCCTCTTGTTGCTGAAGTTGTCGTGTTGTATAGAAATATTTTATATGTTGGGTAGTTACCGGTCAGTTGGCCTCTTGTTACTGAAGTTGTCGTGTTGTATAGAAATATTTTATATGTTGGGTAGTTAGCAGTCAGTTGGCCTCTTGTTACTGAAGTTGTCGTGTTGTATAGAAATATTTTATATGTTGGGTAGTTACCGGTCAGTTGGCCTCTTGTTACTGAAGTTGTCGTGTTGTATAGAAATATTTTATATGTTGGGTAGTTACCGGTCAGTTGGCCTCTTGTTACTGAAGTTGTTGTAGTGTATAGAAATATTTTATATGTTGGGTAGTTACCGGTCAGTTGGCCTCTTGTTACTGAAGTTGTCGTGTTGTATAGAAATATTTTATATGTTGGGCAGTTAGCAGTCAGTTGGCCTCTTGTTACTGAAGTTGTTGTAGTGTATAGAAATATTTTATATGTTGGGCAGTTAGCAGTCAGTTGGCCTCTTGTTACTGAAGTTGTCGTGTTGTATAGAAATATTTTATATGTTGGGCAGTTAGCAGTCAGTTGGCCTCTTGTTACTGAAGTTGTCGTGTTGTATAGAAATATTTTATATGTTGGGTAGTTACCGGTCAGTTGGCCTCTTGTTACTGAAGTTGTCGTGTTGTATAGAAATATTTTGTATGTTGGGTAGTTACCGGTCAGTTGGCCTCTTGTTACTGAAGTTGTCGTGTTGTATAGAAATATTTTATATGTTGGGTAGTTACCGGTCAGTTGGCCTCTTGTTACTGAAGTTGTCGTGTTGTATAGAAATATTTTATATGTTGGGTAGTTACCGGTCAGTTGGCCTCTTGTTACTGAAGTTGTCGTGTTGTATAGAAATATTTTGTATGTTGGGTAGTTAGCAGTCAGTTGGCCTCTTGTTACTGAAGTTGTTGTAGTGTATAGAAATATTTTATATGTTGGGTAGTTAGCAGTCAGTTGGCCTATTGTTACTGAAGTTGTTGTAGTGTATAGAAATATTTTATATGTTGGGTAGTTACCGGTCAGTTGGCCTCTTGTTACTGAAGTTGTCGTGTTGTATAGAAATATTTTATATGTTGGGTAGTTACCGGTCAGTTGGCCTCTTGTTACTGAAGTTGTCGTGTTGTATAGAAATATTTTGTATGTTGGGTAGTTAGCAGTCAGTTGGCCTCTTGTTACTGAAGTTGTTGTAGTGTATAGAAATATTTTATATGTTGGGTAGTTACCGGTCAGTTGGCCTATTGTTACTGAAGTTGTCGTGTTGTATAGAAATATTTTATATGTTGGGTAGTTACCGGTCAGTTGGCCTCTTGTTACTGAAGTTGTCGTGTTGTATAGAAATATTTTATATGTTGGGTAGTTACCGGTCAGTTGGCCTCTTGTTACTGAAGTTGTTGTAGTGTATAGAAATATTTTATATGTTGGGTAGTTAGCAGTCAGTTGGCCTATTGTTACTGAAGTTGTTGTAGTGTATAGAAATATTTTATATGTTGGGTAGTTACCGGTCAGTTGGCCTCTTGTTACTGAAGTTGTCGTGTTGTATAGAAATATTTTATATGTTGGGTAGTTACCGGTCAGTTGGCCTCTTGTTACTGAAGTTGTCGTGTTGTATAGAAATATTTTATATGTTGGGTAGTTAGCAGTCAGTTGGCCTCTTGTTACTGAAGTTGTCGTGTTGTATAGAAATATTTTATATGTTGGGTAGTTACCGGTCAGTTGGCCTCTTGTTACTGAAGTTGTCGTGTTGTATAGAAATATTTTGTATGTTGGGTAGTTAGCAGTCAGTTGGCCTCTTGTTACTGAAGTTGTCGTGTTGTATAAAAATATTTTGTATGTTGGGTAGTTAGCAGTCAGTTGGCCTCTTGTTACTGAAGTTATCGTGTTGTATAGAAATATTTTATATGTTGGGTAGTTACCGGTCAGTTGGCCTCTTGTTACTGAAGTTATCGTGTTGTATAGAAATATTTTATATGTTGGGTAGTTATCATAGTGATTGTAATTTGGGCAAAGGTGTATCAATACAGCCTAGTTAACAGTAAACTTTACAATATTGGTATTGAATGATGTTATTAAGATTTGTTTCCCCTCCACTTTTGCAGAGGAACCAAATGAAAGTATTGAGATTCCAGATGCTATTATGACAGAACAGTGGGCACAACCTATCAAGGACCTCTGGCAGCACCTGCCATTTGACTTTGAGGCAGAGAAAAAGTTCAATCAAAGTCTGGCCAGCAGGGAGCCTCATTGTGTTGTCTGTGCTCTGTTCAAACCTTTTATGGTAAGAGCTATTCATTATGTTTGTATTTTTGATTGATCTAGATAGATTGGTTAATCTTATGTAGTGAGAGCTAATCAGTATATTTGTATTTTAGATTGGTGTAGAAAGATTGGTTAACCTTTCATGATAAGAGTTATTCAGTATATTTGTATTTTAGATTGGTGTAGAGAGATTGGTTTACCTTATATGGTAAGAGTTATTCAGTATATTTGTATTTTAGATTGGTGTAGAGAGATTGGTTTACCTTATTTTGTTAGAGTTATTCAGTATATTTGTATTTTAGATTGGTGTAGAGAGATTGGTTTACCTTATATGGTAAGAGTTATTCAGTATATTTGTATTTTAGATTGGTGTAGAGAGATTGGTTTACCTTATATGGTAAGAGTTATTCAGTATATTTGTATTTTAGATTGGTGTAGAGAGATTGGTTTACCTTATATGGTAAGAGATTAGTTAACCTTATATGGTAAGAGGTATTCAGTATGTTTGTATAGATTGGTGTAGAGAGATTGGTTATCCTTATATGGTAAGAGGTATTCAGTATGTTTGTATTTTAGATTGATGTAGAGAGATTGGTTTACCTTATATGGTAAGAGTTATTCAGTATATTTGTATTTTAGATTGATGTAGAGAGATTGGTTTACCTTATATGGTAAGAGTTATTCAGTATATTTGTATTATAGATTGGTGTAGAGAGATTGGTTTACCTTATATGGTAAGAGATTAGTTAACCTTATATGGTAAGAGGTATTCAGTATGTTTGTATAGATTGGTGTAGAGAGATTGGTTTACCTTATATGGTAAGAGATTAGTTAACCTTATATGGTAAGAGGTATTCAGTATGTTTGTATAGATTGGTGTAGAGAGATTGGTTATCCTTATATGGTAAGAGGTATTAGGTATGTTTGTATTCTAGATTGGAGTAGAGAGAGATTGGTTTACCTTATATGGTAAGAGTTATTCAGTATGTTTGTATTTTAGATTGGTGTAGAGAGATTGGTTATCCTTATATGGTAAGAGATATTCAGTATGTTTGTATTCTAGATTAGAGAAATTGGTTAACCTTTTATGGTAAGAGGTATTCAGTATGTTTGTATTTTAGATTGGTGTAGAGAGATTGGTTTACCTTATATGGTAAGAGGTATTCAGTATGTTTGTATTTTAGATTGATGTAGAGAGATTGGTTTACCTTATATGGTAAGAGGTATTCAGTATATTTGTATTTTAGATTGGTGTAGAGAGATTGGTTTACCTTATATGGTAAGAGGTATTCAGTATGTTTGTATTTTAAATTGGTGTAGAGAGATTGGTTTACCTTATATGGTAAGAGATTAGTTAACCTTATATGGTAAGAGGTATTCAGTATGTTTGTATTTTAGATTGATGTAGAGAGATTGGTTTACCTTATATGGTAAGAGGTATTCAGTATATTTGTATTTTAGATTGGTGTAGAGAGATTGGTTTACCTTATATGGTAAGAGGTATTCAGTATGTTTGTATTATAGATTGATGTAGAGAGATTGGTTTACCTTATATGGTAAGAGGTATTCAGTATGTTTGTATTATAGATTGATGTAGAGAGATTGGTTTACCTTATATGGTAAGAGGTATTCAGTATGTTTGTATTATAGATTGATGTAGAGAGATTGGTTTACCTTATATGGTAAGAGGTATTCAGTATGTTTGTATTATAGATTGATGTAGAGAGATTGGTTTACCTTATATGGTAAGAGGTATTCAGTATGTTTGTATTTTAGATTGATGTAGAGAGATTGGTTTACCTTATATGGTAAGAGGTATTCAGTATATTTGTATTTTAGATTGATGTAGAGAGATTGGTTTACCTTATATGGTAAGAGATTAGTTAACCTTATATGGTTAGAGGTATTCAGTATGTTTGTATTTTAGATTGGTGTAGAGAGATTGGTCATGGGATACTGCTCAGGAATAAATGGTTAAAAGGGAATGTAGACTTTGATGGTCAGTCCAGAATCCAGTATGGCTGCCATCATGAAAAACACATTTACATATTCCTTTGTTTCAGTGGTGAAATTGAGCATGAATTGTAGGAATGTTGAGACACCTAAATGAAGAGTGTTGCTTTTACTGTTAAAATACTTTTAGCTAATTTGATCATTTTATAACTTTAAAATACTTCTTAAGGAATGTTTGGATACTATCCGAGTTTGGTCTGAAGCATTTTAAGTAAAGGAGACTTTTGTATTAATGATTTTGCTGACCCTCTGGGGGCAGAGGGGTTGAGACCAATGGCAAAATACATTTAGAATTCCTTTTCTCAGTGTTTGGATAAAGCAATTGCAGTCAAAGACAAACAAACAATACAGGGCCTATTGGCCTCTTGATCTGTAATAAACATGATTATATGTAAATATTGCCCCTAGTCCCACTTTGTCTTGTTCCTTTGTCATATAACATTTAGCAATGAACAATTTTGCAGAAATTCTCTGATGATTGCTCCAATGCTGTTGTATTGAAGAAGAGTAATAAGAAGGACAAGGTGCGAAGGTCCCTGCCTATGATTCCTGAGATGTGCTTTGCTTGTAGTACTGACAACCCCCACCCACTTGGTCTCAACACTGTACTAGACAATGATGGCTTAAGTCCACTCCTTACCTGTGACCAGTGCAAGATCTGTGTTCATGCAAGTATGTACTACTGCCAACAAGAGTAATATTACAATGTATTTCTTGATACAGTGAATTGATGAAACGTTTTTAGGTCACCTGAGCCAAAGGCTCATGATGGTCTATTGCTGTTGATTTTTGTCTGAAGTGTCTTCTGTGGTGCATCATCTGTTTACAAGTCAAAACAAATAGTGATGAAACATGTTATTTTAAAAAGATAATTAAACAGGAGTGCTTAGTATGGTTCCTTTGTCAAAGAGTAGCTCTAGCAAAATTGCAAAATTCATTGTCTCTGGGTGTAGCATTTAGTCTCCAGATTGGGTCAGTTATTGAGCAGAGCAAAACTTCTGCAACAGCATTAAAATTCCAATGAGCTGGAACTTCATACAAAGGCACATACATTTTAAATTTTCATGAAAGATTTTAAAGGTTACTGAGTTAGACGTCATCAACACTTTTAAAGAAAGTGAAACTACCAATTTTGTCTGAAATCTCAATTTTGGTATAGGCATATGAATTCTTTGCTATTTGAACTCATTTGACTGTCAAGGCCCATAGACCATTCATTTGCCCACCATCATCAGATGGTGATCTATTCAAATCACCCATCTGTCCAAAAAAAAATTCTTATCACTAATTCTGGAGAAGTACTGGATGGATCTTTCTCAAATTCCAAACGTAGGTCTGCCTTGGTCCCGAAGTGTGCCTTTTCAATTTTGGGACTGATCAGAAAAAGAAAATGGTAGACAACAGATTTGACAATATAAGAAAATTGTAACTATTTCTGAAAAGAAATTTTAAAATTTAGAGCAAGAACAGAGGAAAGAATAAAAAAGAAGTGGAGAGATATAACTTTAAAAGCAAAAATAAAGACCAAACAATGTTGGAGCTAAGAACCCTCTTGGATTTCTGTATCTATGTTTTTTGTGTTTTCTATGTTTTTTTCACATATATATCAAATTTACTAATATCAATCAAAATCATGAGTTTTCTCATTTAATGATTTTTGATAAATTAAACAAGATTTTACGTGGTAAAGAAGGAGGGAAGTGGATATTAGAAATATGTTTAAACTTTCTTCCTGTTGTAGGTTGCTATGGAGTCACAGAGTTTCCAAAAAAATGGAAGTGTACTCGCTGTACCAAACAGATGTTTTCTGCAGTAAGTATCTTGCTGCTGACTAACTATTATGTGCCTGACTCAAGGATTTTATGATGTAGTCTTTTCTCAGTATTTTTAGCAAGCTCATAGCATATCGTTGCGTCTGTTATGCATTTGTAAACTCAGTATGAATTGCGTCTATTCACAAATTATAAAGGGATTTTGACCAACGTTGATCTGCAGCATCCTTGTGGCAAGAAACAAATTTTGTACAAAAAGTTCTTTAAGGTCCGAGAGAAGCGGGTCCGAAAGGGGAATTATACCAATCAGATCATCTGACGGTGGGCTATTAAAATCGCTCTGTGTCTGTAGTCCGTCGTCCATCCTAAACTATTTTTGTTATAGCTATTTCTTTAGAAGTGCTTGATGGATCACTTCCAAATTTCAGATGTAGGTTTCCCTTTGTCCCTAGTTGTGCCCAGTTAATTTTTGGTCTGATCAGAAAAACCAATAGGCCAAAAGGCAGCCATCTTTGATTTTGACTTTGAAAGTTTGTTATCACTATTTCTTAAGAAGTGCTGTATAGATCTTTCTCAAATTTCATGTATAGGTTCTCTTGGTCCCTAGTGATGCCCATTTAATTTTGGGACTGATCAGAAAAACAAAATTGGATTTGCCAATCAAAGATTGTTAATCCTATTTCTTAAATGGTACTGAATGGAGGTAAGTTATGATTGTCCTTATTGAGATGGTTTTTATTTTGTAGGAGTGCTGTCTGTGTTGTCAGAGAGGAGGTGCTCTCAAGCCTACATCTGATGGCAAATGGGCACACATTGTCTGTGCTTTGGCAATTCCAGAGGTGAAGTTTGAAAATATCCAGAAACGCGAGCCCATCAATGCCTATAAAATCACCAGTGAAAGATCAAAACTAGTGAGTATGGTGACAAAAATTTTTATGTTATACATATAATAAAGCTCTCAGGTGTCAGCCCATATGTAAGTTGAAGACTGTAGGTGGTGAAAGTGTGCTTAGCCAGTCTGTTTTTAAAAATTTGGGGGTGGGAAGGGAGTCGAATTTGTTGAAACCTTTTCTTTTAACAACTTCTGAACCAAAAGGTCTAGAAACTTGATATTATAATTGTAGCAAAAACACAGTTTGATTTATTAGCACAGACAAGAATTATGAATGATGTCAGTTGGAGAGATGGTCAATCATGCCCGACACTTTTCTGAGTACATGGCTGAAATCCCAATTCACTGCCAAGAATCATAATTAATCTTGAAGCGTGAAAGGCATCAACATGATGAATTTATACCACAAACAATAGGTAACTCATAGATATCTAATACAGGCATTTTAGCCTTGTCCCAGTTTTGTTAAATACATGTATGAAGACACATGGTGGCTCGATGCAATGTAAACTTGACCACTTTTTGGTTAAAATGGTGGTAGTGAGGTCATTTACGGTTAACTATCGGTCAGTAGTGAACTGCAAGAGGTGTTTATTGTAACATAAGAGGAAGAAATGGGAGTAAGTGCCCTTTACAGCAGGGTGGTTTATATATTGAGATAGTTAATAGATGTGATTTCTCTGTAGTTAGCTTCTGTGGAATTAAATATCTGATTGGCGTTTGTTCATTCCTAAATATTTGTTGACTTCCCTGAAAGGACTGTACACAAATCAGATAGGCTGAGCTACATACTGGCACTGTTGACTACCTGCCTGTCACTGGCATGATACCTTTGAGGGAGTTGTCAGCAAGGCATGAGAGTATACAAATACATTGCAGGAGAAGGGTTATCATTTCTCAGTCAGATTTTATAGTATCAAAATGTCCTACCAGTTACCTCTGAAGTCATCCAAGAAGGGCACTTGTACATGCATGAGCCCAAATGTTGCTTATTTTTGCCCTGTTCATCATCCTGTATAGGGGTCCTGTCTCCTCAAAACTAGACAACTGAGGAGCTCCTCTTAGCTAAAAATGCCGGAAACTTAACTGCAGCCATCCAGCCAGTTACCAACAGGAAATGGTAATTGGCCTCCAGCATGCCCTCACTTCTCTTGTATACTTGCTTCCTTCCCACAGAAATGGCAAGTCACAAGCAGCTTGGCAATACAACTTGGATCCTTGCCTAAAACTGCAATGGGCCACCTGCTGGTGTTCTAGGTGGATCACTGTGGGCAAACTCATGCTACTTACTTGGAACAAACTTATAGCATGTTCAAAACTTGGCTGAGGACATCTTGTGTTTTAGTGCCCAGCTGCATTCAAGTCTGGGTGCTATCCCTGCAAGATGGTGCCAAATCCAAGCTATCAGTGGGAAGCTTGGCTAAACAGCTTAATGTATAGCTGTCTCATCCTACAGGGATGATTGATCAACCTTATCAAATACTAGAATATAGAAGGGAACATTCTGTAATTTCAGTGCCATGATTTGTTTGATTTCATAAATTTTAGGTATTGGAATATTTAAAGATATCCTCAAGAATGTATGTCTATTCTGCACCAGGTCCAGTATTTCTTGAGCATTTAGACTTGTTGAGCAAGGTTATGCCAAATTCCTGAGGCACAATATGCTTCCAGCAAGATTTCTGCTCCTAGTAGACATATTTGTGATAACCCCTTGGAATATGAATAATTGATACAAAGTATGGTTCTGAGGTTTTGATCTGTAATGATATCACTTCCAGCGGTGCTATTACTGTAATCCCCTCCAGAACAGTGAGAAGACATTTGGAGTGTGTGTTCAGTGCTCACAGGGTCGCTGTACATCCTCCTTCCATGTGACATGTGCCTATGCTGCAGGGGTTGTGTATGAGACCAGTGACTGGCCATTTCCTGTTTACAACACCTGTTTACGACACAGCCACAAGGAAAAAGAAAAGGTGAGATGTGTTTATTGTGGAAGTTGAAGAGCACTACTTCCATATTCATTCCTATGAAAATTTGATCAGCTGATGTGTATCTTGTACCCCTATTATGAATTGTTGACTTATTCCTCATACTTTCAAAAGCAGTCATTTTCTATTATCAGATATCTAAATTTTATGTGAGGATCAAATCATACAGAATGAATGTTTTAAATATGAAATATACTGAAGTGAAGTTTATTCTGACTTAGGGTGAGAGGAAGCTGACTGAGCTGAAGAAGGGAGACAGGGTTTATGCCAAACATAAAAACACACGCTACTATGTTGTGGATGTGCTAAAAGTTACCAACCAAGTGTTTTACTCTGTGGATTTTGATGATGGCTCTTTCAGCGACGATCTCTTTCCAGAGGATATTGATGTAGGCATTCAGATATTACACAAGATTATTTGACTAATGTTGATAGTTGTCATTGTATACCTGATGGTATGTTAATTCCAAAGCTCTTCTTGTATGTGTCTAAAAAGAACAACTATGTGACCATTTTAGTGCTACAAACATGAATTGAACACCTTGCAGATGTAATATGGCCATCACTTTACAATAATGTTTTATTAATTTTGCCTGACAAAAACGTTCAAATGTGTTGTTTTGAACAGCACTTTGATTTCGATTTATTTAGAATAGTTACTGCCCTTTGTTATTTTCATTATCGTGATCTTGTCCAGATATCTCCTCTGTCAGTTTTCAATTGATTTTTCTGAAACTTAAATCGGCTTAATTATCAAATGTCTTGTCATTAAGAGCAAAAACAGAGAAGAGAAAAGAAGGGGAAAGATCCAACTGTCAAAGAGCATATAACAATCAAACAATGTAGGTGCCAAGATCCCTCTGGGATCTCTTGTTTTAGACACTGTTACATTTTTAAAAAGAATATGATTGGTATTAACAGGACCACAGAGTAGAGCTTGGACCCCCAGCTATAGGAACACATGTTCAGATCAAATGGACAGATGGAGACCTATATGGTGCTACATTTCGCGGAGCCAAAACATTGGTGATGTACACAGTAAGTTCTAGCTGTAGCTGTACTTATCAGGAATTATTGTCACACAGGGAGTTCATACAAGTCCTTTACAATAGAATTTGTCACTTTTAATTCTTCTATTGATACACAACTTTTTACTTGTTTTATTACAAATTAATAGATGGATGTGCTCTCGGTTGCTCCTGTTTAAAAAATAAATGTCTTTCAGGTCGAGTTTGCAGATGGTAACCATAGAGTGTTCAAGAGGGAAGAAGTTTGGTCTATGGATGAAGACTTACCTAAACATATTAAGGCACGAACGGTAAGGATTTTAGAAAAATGTAGTGAAGATGTATATAAATCCCATAGTTACAAATGCAATACGTGGTTATTTCCTGAGATAGCCAAGTATCTATCAAAGTAAGTTACCTTCCACAATATTTGATATCTGAACAAAATGTTAAGAATGAGAATTTGTCTGGTTTAGATTCTGCTGTTAATTGATATGCCATTCACAGATATGTTGTAGTTCCATGTCTCTTAATGATGGCTGGTAACCATTAGATATAAAGGACAGCTAGTTGTTCAGTATCTGCATTTCAATGAACCAATTTTTTTTATGCATGTTTTTGTTATTCTTCAGTCTGAGGCAACAGAAAGAAAATACAGCATTTTCTACACTGAAGAGATAAAAGCAGAAGTGGAAACTGAGGGAAAGCGACCTAAAGCAAAGATCTCATATTCAAAGCTGAATGGATAAGCAATGTTGTACTTGATTCTTGTCTGTAGAGGAGGAGTTCAATACTATGCAACACAGAAAGAATTTGGTGTACAGCCTGCTTTTAATGTGGATCTTAAATCATCACATGAAAGTAACACAAACAACTTATTGATATGTCTAGTGGCAGCTTTGTGCAAAGTTTTCGGACAATTTTTAAGACTGGAATATTTGCAATATTTATTTTAAAGACAATGATACTACATGTATTGCCATATTTCATTGCTTGTATTAAATGTATTTGAATTGACTATTACCCCAAAAACGTGGTTGTGTTTTAGATTGTGACTCTGTGGTACAGTGAGGTCCAACACAAAGTACTAGCAGGAAGAAGTCAGAACCTTTGTAAATCACCCATCAAAGTTTTAGGCCATTTAAATAAGGGGATTCAAAAATGGTTTTAATATGGTATAATATATTTTGTGAACTGGTCACACATTTTAAATTCTATACTAATACAAAAGGAGTATTTAATAATTTTCTGATGAATGTTGGTCAGACTATTTATTTGTGTTAGGAGGCAGTCAGCTAATGTTCTCATAATTATCTATAATTCAAAATGGGAAATATATGGCCGTGTAAATTAATAAATTTTGCAAATGTAATAAACAGAACTACGGTCACTCCCAGCTCAGTCTGTGATAGTGTATATAGGACAAAAATCATGTGTTTTGACCTACTGTACACATTTTAACTTTTTACAGTTAATTTGGTTTTCTTTACAATTCTTAAATGGCATTAAATGACCTTTTGGTAAGATTTTCCAGTAAAACTGAAATTTTCCCAAACACTAACAGATTTACAAAGACTTAATGTGTTTAGAATGAAAGGTGCAGACCTTGGTACCACTAGATATACAGACATGCCATGATGTTTGCACGAGAATGATTTAATAAGATAAACATACTGATACCTTATGAAAGTTCTTTACAGATAATTATTTAATTTGTGCATCATTTTTGCATGGATTAAATTATTTCTAGAAAAAGAAAGCTTTTGTTATTCTTATGTGCCTGTGGAAAGTTTTGACATTAAGATCTCCCGCCACAGTTTTCTACCGATCTCTTTCAAACAGGAGAGGCTTATCATCTTGACATGAAGTTGTGCTTTCCTGACTGACCGTTTTATTCAACAGTATTTGGAAGAGATAGTGCCTCTTGTTGTTTTCATAATATAACTCTGTCCAGGATTAGTGTAGTTGATTGTTACTTCATGTCCAATTAAATACCGAGGCCATACATTGACATATCGGGCATGGGAAATGTAGGAAAGCCAGAGTTCTTGGAGAAAATCCACCACCCTGCAGTTAGTACTTGGCGACTGCCCCACAGAGACCCTGAACGTGCTACCCAGAGGTAAAGGGATAATGATAAAGACAATTAGATGTCCTAACCACTCAGCCACTGTGGCCACTTCTTGACCAGAGATCACTTCTCTCAGTCTTCGATAGATTTCAGACTTTGTAGGCTTAATTACAAGGACACAAAGTTGTGTTTTCCTGATTTGACTGTAGTTGGAAGAGTTACTACCCCTTGTTGTTGTCATAATGTTAATCTTGTCTGGAGATCTCCTTCTAAGCCGAGTTTTCAGTTTGAATCAACAGATTTAGCTGACCTGACCTGAAGGGCCGAGTGTGATAATGGCATACTGCAGCAGAAGTCACATCAGTCATCTTTTCCTACAAGTCACTACTAGTCATGAATGACCGAGTAGACTTTAACCAAATTTGATCAGAGTATCCTTTGTGAAATGGGACATAATTTTGTATAAAATGGTGGGTCTTGGACCCCTAGGGCTTGAGGGACAAGCAAATTTAGGGAATGCCTTAAAATCCTTTATCAACTGGAGGAGGAATTTGTCCATATTTGGTGTAAAGCCATTCTTAGTCGGCATTCTTACAAATTTTTTTTTGAAGTATTTGCTCTTTTTTTTTTTAACCCTATTTGGCCCTGTCCCTCCTGCTCAATTTGTGGGAGACCCACTGTTTGTACATAGATATTTGTGTTAATGTTTTCAATGGAAGTCTAGGCATAGAGTGATTAGGTCCAATGGGGAAATATGTTTAAACCTGTAAAATTCCTTTTCCTATACATTTGGTCAAATAAAGCCAGCGAAGCGATACAGGCCCTGTGGACCACTTGTTTATAAATCATTTATAATCATACAAAACCTCATTCTGGAATTGGACAGTTATTAAGTAATTATATCTTAGTTTAGTGTGACAAACATTTTTTTATACAATAAGAGAGCAAGTAATAAAGGTAATGTAATGATTCTGTTTTTTATTACAAAAAGTGTAGCAGTCGCAACTCTTCTGAGAATTTGAAAAAAATTACGTATTAAGTTTTTTTTGATGATTTTTTGAAAAATTTCTTGTTTTTTCTGAATAATCAACAATTTCAGTTATTTTCGCGGCAACCTTTTTAAAAATAAATTTTGTCTTTCATTGCAATGAAAGGGTGTGATACTTGGACATAAAGTTTTTCATTTGATTCAACAAACTTTCAACTGCATAGCAATCAAAAAATGAAGATGTTCCAAAAGTGCAGTACATCCTTTATTTGATAATCTGCTAGTTAAAATCAACCCATGACTTGCAGGGTTATACTTGAGAGAAAAACTTCAGCAACCAGAAAATGTTAAATCGTTGACCATTAACTACACTGTCAAGTCAAGAAAAGCAAATATTTCCTCTTGGGTCCTAAAAATCTGAGAAAATGGTCCACCAAATGGGAGTTAATGAATTTTAAATTTTCACTTAAGTAAAACCGTAAAGATCATCTATACATTGACCTGAATTGCATGGTATTCTCGGAAATGGTGTGTTACACAACTGTCCATTGACTTTTAAGTCAGTAATTCATTACCTAGCACCAACCATGTACATGTACACAATTTCAACCCTTTAGTTACAAAAATCAGTAACGTCTAGCAACTTTAGAATAATGCCAAACCATACAACAGTAAAAGATGATCTACTTGAAAATACCAGTAACCTTGCTAGGATGGAGTTACATACCTGTTACGATAATATCAACATATATATATACCCAAAGATGCTTCAGACACAATTTTTAATAATCCCGTTGTTCCTGCTGGAAAAGTAGAATTTTACAGAATTCACTCAATTTCCTCTATTGGGTGCTGTCCCTCCAGCACTGGTGGCTATGACCAATTGTTTATTGGTCAATAAACCAATAACTCCCCTTCAACCAAGAATGCTTAAGACCATTTTTTTGAAAAATCAAATCATTCAATCAAACAGGAGAAGTATTTTACAGAATTTGCTCCATTTTCCTTACAGGGCCCTGCCCCTGAGGGGATGAGACCCAATATGTATGCTTACTCAACACTGAATTGAATTAGGCCTTTGTTCTCAACAGAGGAGATGATCCACTATGAAGGCAATGCAGTTGATTGTCAAATGCCATCATTTTCAATACTTCAGTAACAAAATAGGTAAAAAAAACCCAGACGACAATGAATATATTTACATGCTTTATTCAGAGTTTAACTTTTAACAGTAGAAAATGCATTTTTGATGTACTTAGGTACATGTAAAATACATGTGTAGCTCTTCACTGTACGACCTACAGCCAATCTTGTACAACAAGCAGACCAATTATCAAGCTTCAGTTAAGCCTTAGCAGGTCTTAGTTAGTTAGGAAACGGTTAATTGGTTCAATGATAAAGAGAGGTATTGAGCACAGTGAGGAGTCACACATGTATACTACACGAGTACATCTATGAATGGTTAAAGCTACCATTGTAGCAATGACTTGTCCCTGGTGTAGAACAGTCGCCTGTCTCACTCTCTAACACTCACTCATGTCTCGCCCACCACAAACCCTACAATATATAAGTACTGACAACGTGAAACAAAATAGTACATTCTGTATAACAAAATATCCCAGTACTTTTCCCTAGATATCACTTGTTATTGACAATCTTACTACTGAAAACTAAAGCAATTGTTTGTACTGGCTGATTAGAAAAACATTACAGATCATGTATGCTGCAAATCACCATGTTCTAAGGTCATTTAAAATCCCATAATTGAAGATTTCAATAAAATGCTTGAATTATTGAAAACTTCTGCTAATTTTTCCATAACGCTTTCCAACTGAAATAAAAACACCTCAGTATTGGAATTTCCTGAAAGTTCACAGAATCCTAATAGTAACATGGAGTCACCTGGTACACCAAAAAACCACATGATATACAGTATACTGATAGTCTATAGTAACGAAAATAATGGAATGAACAATTTTGGCAAAAAAGTCATCAAATATTTACTGGAAAACACTGGTCCACTAAGAAAGAATACACAAGTAATGATAGAATATGTATGCAAATTTACAGAAAAGCTAAATGATTGGTAAGGGAGATAATACAGCTAGATATCTAAATCCAGCTCCAGTATAGCCTAACAGAACGCAAAACCATAAACCAAGATGGTATAATTCAGAGTGTCGGAGTGCTTATGTTACAACAAGTGCCAGGGGCCAACACACAAACTGTAACTCCTAGTTGTGAGTGTAATACAATGATATCGGTATCATGAATAACTGCTAAAAAGCAATATATTTGTGTTAAGTATCAGATCAATACACCTGCTCAGACTTTTTTTTTATATTATTTCCAGACACTTGAAATGGTCCAAGCAGTGTAACAATAATGCAGGTCACCTATATCAAGGCAATCATTAGTTGTTTCATATCAATATTACGTTCAAAGACAAATGATATGCTACAAATATTTTTTTTTTCTTTCCTTGCAATAGGAAACTTTTTTTTTAACATAGAAGAAGGTGAAATAAGTTTTCTTAAGTAAGAATGAGAGAGAATTAATTTTACTTTCTCTCTATACTAACATCAGATTTAAAAATAAATATACATTGTCAATTTGTATGTTTGTAAAATATGTATCAGGGAAAAATTCAAGCATATTTATACTTCACACATTCTTTACATTCCTGCATTCAGCACATTCTACACTGGTAGCAAATTTCATTGCAAAGAAAGCCAAATTTAAAATCATCTTTTTCCTCATCATACAAAAGATAGATAAACATATTTATGCTTTAAAAATTATGTTTGTAATTTTACAAATTCAGCATTTTTATATATATATATATATATATATATTTATATGTGTGTGAGTGTGGTGTATATATACACTTGTTATAAAAATTAAATAACACATCATTGACGTTAGCAAAAATACACACAACATGTTACAACAGTTAAAATTACAATCATACATCCCAAACATTCACACATCTTTCTCACAGTCACATAGTGTGTGTGTTCCTCTGTTTAGCTTCAGAGAGAAATATATTAATCCTCTCTGTCTTGTATTAGAGCAACAAAATCAAGCTGTGAACCTGACTTGTTACTAGTTTTAAAATCATACTTAATCCAATGAGCATAAAGGTTAGCTATTCAACCCTGAAGGACATGTAACAACAGATTTCATTGGCTACACAGCTGCAGACTTCATCATCTTGTGGTAGTTATGTGCCTTTTTTGAGTGCACTACTTAGTGAAGAAACAAAGCCCTGTATATCAACAGAAACTGGGCAGTAATACTAGTACAGATGTCAACATCATTTCCATTCAATACTTCTCATATTTATCAGTGTTTTCTAACATATCAGAGGATTTTTAGATTATGGAAAACTCTCCATTTTCTTTTCATTTAAAATCATATTTAGTATAATGCCCGTATCTGTTTTTGACATGATTCTGTCTTTCATTCTTACCAAACGACTTTTGCTGTGTTAGTGTCTTTCTAAATTTCAGGAACAACCATCAAAGATAAAACATTTTGAAAAAAACCCAACATGTTTTCAATTGTTAAAAAATAAAACTGAAAAAGAAAAAAAAATTATGATGAAATACATGTACTGTAAATGGCCTTTTTCCGAATACACATACTGAAACCATTGTTGAGACACGTACATGTACCGATACTACTGTTTAGACACGTACATGTACCGATACTACTGTTTAAATGTTGTGATACATATATCAATTCTAATGTTTAGGCCTTGTGGATCCATACCGACTAAAGCTTTCTTTCTCTCCTCAAAATATATCCACACATAACAGCTATCTTTTAAGTACCAATAATTAAGAAAAGAAATCTGGAGGTACTTTTAATGAAAAGTTTATCACTGAATGTAAAAACTCTTCCCTTATCCACTGCTCCAAAACCACTTCAGACTGAATGTCACACTGACAAGTAGTTAAGTCTCCATTCTTGTTCAGAGAATTTCATCGGAGCGATTTTCAAATGATACTTGCAAGATCCTGATAAATTATTACATCTCAGGAAAAGCATTTTTTAAAAACATTAGGACAGAATCTTTGTATTACATGTACGTTTAATCGGTTACTACTTAATAATTTGGTAATTTGCATATAGTGACAAATAGTCACACAGGTAAACAAAATCTTTGACAATAAAAACATTCTCCAGCCACTCTCACTTAAACCTGCATTTCACTCTGACTGGAGGTGATACTAAATTTCCCTACATGGATCAGCTGACTAAGAATTGGTATAGATAGATTTGGTTGAACATTATAACACTAAAATACTTTCATTCACTTACATAAAATCAGTCTTTTTCTACAAAAGGAAGTAAAATTCTTTGGTCAAAAACTAACTGAAATTAATTTGATATATTAACAAAATGTTCACCCTCCTGGAGTTAGGGATCTAAACTTGTTGGTGTGAATGACTGTTTCTCTTACTCTGCTGGCCTTCTTATGCTTGGCATTGCTTTACTGTAATATTCTGGGGTAACTGACAAGGGTAAGAGAAAAAGATGTTCTGTTTTCTATCTGAGCTGAATTCCACAATCTGAATTAAAGGTTTTAATTTTACAATACTAAGCTGTATGAGATTTACCTGTCTCCAGAATAGGATATACCATTTAAGGGTTATCATATCTACTATATCCAGCAAATGGTAAAAGTCAGCAATTTTGTCAAGACCAAACGAATCAATATTTATCATATATTTACCTACTAGGACACCTGTAGGGCTAACATTGTATCAGATCTGACTGTACAGCTAGGACACCTGTAGGGCTAACATTGTATCAGATCTGAATGTACAGCTAGGACACCTGTAGGGCTAACACTGTATCAAATCTGACGGTACAGCTAGGACACCTGTAGGGCTAACATTGTATCAGATCTGACTGTACAGCTAGGACACCTGTAGGGCTAACATTGTATCAGATCTGACAGTACAGCTAGGACACCTGTAGGGCTAACATTGTATCAGATCTGACTGTACAGCTAGGACACCTGTAGGGCTAACATTGTATCAGATCTGACGGTACAGCTAGGACACCTGTAGGGCTAACATTGTATCAGATCTGACGGTACAGCTAGGACACCTGTAGGGCTACAACTGAGAAATGAAGGGCTTGTAGTTGTATGATAAATATCATTCTTATTGTAAACATTATTAAAATTTTGACAGAGTTAATGTACACCTCTATATTACAGAGATAATGTACACCTCTATATTACAGAGATAATGTACACCTCTATATTACAGAGATAATGTACACCTGTATATTACAGAGATAATGTACACCTCTATATTACAGAGATAATGTACACCTCTATATTACAGAGATAATGTACACCTGTATATTACAGAGATAATGTACACCTCTATATCTATATTACAGAGATAATGTACACCTCTATATTACAATAAGTGTACACCTCTATATTACAGAGATAATGTACACCTCTATATTACAGAGATAATGTACACCTCTATATTACAGAGATAATGTACACCTCTATATTACAGAGATAATGTACACCTCTATATTACAGAGATAATGTACACCTCTATATTACAGAGATAATGTACACCTCTATATTACAGAGATAATGTACACCTCTATATTACAGATAGTGTACACCTGTATATTACAGAGATAATGTACACCTGTATATTACAGAGATAATGTACACCTCTATATTACAGAGATAATGTACACCTCTATATTACACTAAGTGTACACCACTATATGACAGAGATAATGTACACCTCTATATTACAGAGATAATGTACACCTCTATATTACAGAGATAATGATAATGTACACCTCTATATTACAGAGATAATGTACACCTCTATATTACACACCTCTATATTACAGAGATAATGTACACCTCTATATTACAGAGATAATGTACACCTCTATATTACAGAGATAATGTACACCTCTATATTACAGAGATAATGTACACCTGTATATTACAGAGATAATGTACACCTCTATATTACAGAGATAATGTACACCTCTATATTACAGAGATAATGTACACCTCTATATTACAATAAGTGTACACCTGTATATTACAGAGATAATGTACACCTGTATATTACAGAGATAATGTACACCTCTATATTACAGAGATAATGTACACCTCTATATTACAGAGATAATGTACACCTCTATATTACAGAGATAATGTACACCTCTATATTACAGTATGTACACCTCTATATTACAGAGATAATGTACACCTCTATATTACAGAGATATTACACCTCTATATTACAGATAATGTACACCTCTATATTACAGAGATATATTACAGAGATAATGTACACCTCTATATTACAGAGATAATGTACACCTCTATATTACAGAGATAATGTACACCTCTATATTACAGAGATAATGTACACCTCTATATTACAGAGATAATGTACACCTCTATATTACAATAAGTGTACACCTCTATATTACAGAGATAATGTACACCTCTATATTACAGAGATAATGTACACCTCTATATTACAGAGATAATGTACACCTCTATATTACAGAGATAATGTACACCTGTATATTACAGAGATAATGTACACCTCTATATTACAGAGATAATGTACACCTCTATATTACAGAGATAACGTACACCTCTATATTACAATCAGTGTACACCTCTATATTATATGTGTCAACCTTTAATGGTAAATCTCCAGAACACTACCTTACAAGGAACAATCAAACATCATTAGTGTGCATATCTTGGATTCCCAAAACAAAATCAACAAAATACCAATAATGATCACCACAAAAATAATATAACTGTTTTACTTAGATGTGGTATTCAAGCGCCATCATTACACACATCATCTCACATTCATTCATTCATATCTCTGCAATAAGCTTGCTTGCATCTTGTGGAGTTTTCCAGTTCTCCACTGGAGGCACCAGAACATATCAAATGTCAGCATCAATAAAAATAAAGTCTTATTTGTGTAATGGTATGTTTCAAGTCCCTGATAATCTGCAACATTCCAGTTTCACTGGGAAGCTCAGCCAATCAGAACACAGCATTTGATCAACACAGCCAATCAGATGGCTGTGATTTCTGTCCCGATCTGCTGTTGACTCTCTGCAGGCCTATATCACATAGGTGTTTGTTAAGCAAATAATGTAGATTTGTTCTCAAGGCCTGTGAAACCTGTGATGAAAAAATTTGAACATATTCATTAATTATACATCATGATTATTCATTCTTATAACTTCCCACTTCACACGGTCTTACCTGATCCTATACTTATCAAAATACTTATTAATTAATTGATTTTACTTTGCTCACATTTGCTTTTAAACTTTTTAAATTCAGAATTTCGCCTAAGAAATGGCAATAACAACCTTAAACAGGTCTTAGCCATGCGATAACAAACTATCACTGTCAAAATTCAAGATGGCCAATGATCAGCCATATTGTTTTTTCCAATCAATCCCGAAATAAACTGTGCTCAACTAAAAGAGAAGCCTATATATAAATTCTGTGAATGATCCATTCAGTCCTTCTCCAGAAACAATGATATTGTTTAAGGCAGATTGACAACTGATGAAGAACTGTCTGAAAATCCATCACCTGATGATGTTGGGATAAAAAGCCATATTGATTTTGGTATTCAACTCACCTGGTTAAATGTCGACTGTCTTCATGGACAGCCATTTCTTTACTTTTGAATTCATTCAACTCTTTTCTTATTGCAGCCTGAAAATCAAAATCATAACTAAATTAAATAATCAGGCACCAAGCAGGATAAATTTTCTGATAAGTATAATCATGTAGAGGGAGAGAGTCAGTAGATGATAGAGAAATTTAGGTAGCTAGAACAAAGAATCCTGATGACTACAATGGAATGTTAATGGTGATGGAACACACTACCCACCATACACTCTACTCAGTAGTTGTAAATTCTACAGGATGCAATAACCTCTAAAACAAAGGTCAAAATCCTCCTCCAACACATTCAATATTGAAGATAAACCATCCTAGCCAATAGAACTATTTCAAATATTGTCTCTTACTCGGACTTGGAGACCTAATCAGATGAACGGAAGGGTTGTCTGACCACATATAGAAGATTCTTAAGTGATAGTGACTTTAACCCATCAGTGGCCTTGACCTAACAACCTTGAAACTCAAACTTGTTTAGTATCTTGTGGTCATTTGTAAACATGTGATATTTGATCAAAATCCTTTCAAAAAAGCTGCTTAAATGCTGACAATTTTTTAACTAATAGTAAAAGTGACCTTGATTCAACAAACTGAAACTCCAATTTGTTCAAGATATTATGATAATTTGTAAGTGTGTGAGGTTTGATCAAAATCCTGAAAGGCCCCCTCTGGGATTTAAAACACAGACACTGGATGAAAGGGAAATTTTAGTAACCTTTGGGGACTAAAACAAAGACAATGGATGGAGGGACAACAATGGTCGCCTCTGGGGACTAAAACACAGACAATGGATGGAGGGACAACAACGGTCCCCTCTGGGGACTAAAACACAGACAATGGATGGAGGGACAACAATGGCCCCCTCTGGGAACTAAAACACAGACAATGGATGGAAGGACAACAATGGTCCCCTCTGGGAACTAAAACACAGACAATGGATGGAGGGACAACAATGGTCCCCTCTGGGAACTAAAACACAGACAATGGATGGTGGGACAACAATGGTCCCCTCTGGGGACTAAAACACAGACAATGGATGGAGGGACAATAATGGTCCCCTCTGGGGACTACAACACAGACAATGGATGGAGGGACAACAATGGCCCCCTCTGGGAACTAAAACACAGACAATGGATGGAGGGACAACAATGGTCCCCTCTGGGAACTAAAACACAGACAATGGATGGAGGGACAACAATGGTCGCCTCTGGGGACTAAAACACAGACAATGGATGGAGGGACAACAATGGTCCCCTCTGGGAACTAAAACACAGACAATGGATGGAAGGACAACAATGTCTCCTCTGGGAACTAAAACACAGACAATGGATGGAGGGACAACAATGGTCACATGGTTTTTTTGACCAGGTAAGTTAATATGACAAGGGGGTCAACATCTTCATATTCAAAGTCAAGTGTGGGGTTATTACAGAACAATGAAATTACCATGCATGAACTTAATTGCCTTGTAAATATGGTCATAAAATCTATGACCTTGAAATAGCTTCATAGTTGACCTTACCTTATCTTTAGGAGTGAGGCGTGTCCAAGGCTTGTCGCCGCGACGGTCATACTCATTGGCGTCTGTCCACTCCACATAGTCACTAAATTTGATAATTTTCTTCTCCTTCAGCTCGTCTATAGTAGGTCTGAAGCTGAGCTATATAAAGGAAAGAAACAGTAGTGACTGAGAAAGGTATTTTAGTGTTGTATTGTATCTCTATAAAGTATTCTACAACCCACCATAGAAATAGTTGTATATCCCTACAACCCACCATAAAAATAGTTGTATATCTACAACCCACCATAGAAATAGTTGTATATCAACAACCTACCATAGAAATAGTTGTATATCCCTACAACCCACCATAGAAATAGTTGTATATCCCTACAACCCACCATAGAAATAGTTGTATATCTACAACCCACCATAGAAATAGTTGTATATCTCTACAACCCACCATAGAAATAATTGTATATCAACAACCCACCATAGAAATAGTTGTATATCCCTACAACCAACCATAGAAATAGTTGTATATCCCTACAACCCACCATAGAAATAGTTGTATATCTCTATAACCCACCATAGAAATAGTTGTATATCTCTACAACCCACCATAAAAATAGTTGTATATCCCTACAACCAACCATAGAAATAGTTGTATATCCCTACAACCCACCATAGAAATAGTTGTATATCCCTATAACCCACCATAGAAATAGTTTTATATCCCTACAACCCACCATAGAAATAGTTTTATATCTCTATGACCCACCATAGAAATAGTAGTATATTTCTACAACCCACCATAGAAATAGTTGTATATCTCTACAACCAACCATAGAAATAGTTGTATATTCCTACAACCTACCATAGAAATAGTTTTATATCTCTATGACCCACCATAGAAATAGTTGTATATCTCTACAACCAACCATAGAAATAGTTGTATATAACAAGACTTATCTGTAAATAGTCCAAATAGTCATATAGAAAATAAGTGTATTAGTTTTTGAAAAGTTCTTTGATTAGAAAGAAAAACGACACTTTAACAAACACCTTAATAATATGAAAAAAAAAATTAGAACTGTTGATATCAAACTTTACCGGAGCTGAAGTAACAAATGAGGTCTGTTTAAACACATTTGTATTGATAAACATAAAAACATGCTTACTTTTCTGATCAGATATTTCTTTTTCTCTTCCTTTTCCCGGATAGCATCATCTGAGGACTGGTCTATCAAATAAAATGTGATATAAGTTTTTAGTTGTTCTAGACTATTAACACACTCTGTAAGTATTCTGTGAGACAGAGTTAATCGGTTCCTAAAATTCTTCACTGATTTCTCAATCAATTGCTTCTCTGTTTTATCTCTGATTGTCATAGATCTGAACATAATCTTCATCTCTTCTCCCCAAAACAACACATTCCTCAATGTGACACAGATCTAACACACATTTCTTAAATTCTTGTTTCTGACGTGCCTTAATATCTCCTCACATGATAGTCTAATGGCTGTGTAATCTGTGTTCACTCTCGTTGTAAAACCACCATGGTTATTTCTGTTCTAGTGAACAAGGAGGGGCTAATTAGTTGAGCTATTGTTCTACAGGCTGACAGTGACAGTAAATACATATTCATTAACCAGCTAACATCCAACACATCTGTGACACACAGTTGGCCCAGTTACCAAGGCAACCTAATGGTGAAATCAGCTGACTGAATTATAAATGAATAGAATTAGTCATCAGTTGACCCAGTGTTGGACTACCTGTGTAAGAGCGATGTTGTTCATTATCCTGAGTGTGTAATCAATATTTATTGATCTAGAACTATCCCCAACACTATAACAACACAACTTTGAAGATAATCACAGAAGTATTGTAAATTAATTGTTCAGCATTTTAGTAGGAATACCATGGCCTCTCAAACCTCATTTTGCGTGTGAAACCTTTTTGTGAGTATAATATAGATAAAATGACCCAGTAATGATTTCCTTTATATCTATTATAAATAAATAAAACCATAGATAGTTTTCTGGTAACAGTTAATTGTATTAATGTTTTGATTAAAAACATTTATAAAACTTTCAATAGGAGGTGCTTTTGGAGTTGGGTATTACAATATAAAACCTGATGTAACCACACAATCAATACCAGTCCATAATGACAAAGTTTAGTAACGTCACAGAAACTGAGTGGCCCGTTGTCACATCTTTTGTTCAAATCAATAAAATCTACAGTTATTTAATTTACCTAGCTCTGCTATTGAATCAAATGGTTAATCCATCTTATTACCATTATGGTAACACACACAACACACCAAAAACTTACAGCACACACTGTGCCTACATTGTCCACAAACATACATGATACAGTACCTAGCACACAAAAGTCTCATTAGATCACATACTTTGTCACAGTTTGGTAAAAACGGTTTATTAATATTACAAATTGAAAATTAAATGAAAAATTTGAGAAGTTATGACTAAATAGTGAGCATAGGTGTCAAATATTGATCAGTGAATATAACAATCAATTTTGACAGTCACTGAAATACAACCATGTGTTAATAAGTCTCCCTAGAGTATAGTTTCACATGTGAGAGTGGTGAGTGATGAGTCCCTGCAACAACAAAAGGCCAAGAGGGCCTGAATCGCTCACCTGGATATCTAAGTCAAAAATGCAAAACTTTTCTTTAGAAGGAAAATATTTTGGGGTTTAGGGTCTGAACTGTCTCTCTAGTAAAGGGTTTGGGGTCTGAACTGTCTCTCTGGTAAAGCATTGGTGGTCTGAACTGTCTCTCTGGTAAAGCATTGGTGGTCTAAACTGTCTCTCTGGTAAAGGGTTTGGGGTCTGAACAGTCTCTCTGATAAAGGATTTGGAGTCTGAACAGTCTCTCTGGTAAAGAGTTTGGGGTCTGAACTGTCTCTCTGGTAAAGGGTTGGAGGTCTGAACTGTCTCTCTGGTAAAGGGTTTAGGGTCTGAATTGTCTCTCTGGTTAAGGGTTTGGGGGTCTGAACAATCTCTCTGGTAAAGGGTTTGGGGTCTGAATTGTCTCTCTGGTAAAGGGTTGGAGGTCTGAACTGTCTCTCTGATAAAGGGTTTAGGGTCTGAACAGTCTCTCTGGTTAAGGGTTTGGGGGTCTGAACAGTCTCTCTGGTAAAGGGTTTAGGGTCTGAATTGTCTCTCTGGTTAAGGATTGGGGGTCTAAACTGTCTCTTTGGTAAAGGATTGGGGGTCTAAACTGTCTCTCTGGTAAAGTGTTGGGGGTCTGAACTGTCTCTCTGGTAAAGTGCTGGGGGTCTGAATTGTCTCTCTGGTAAAGGATTGGGGGTCTAAACAGTCTCTCTGGTAAAGGGTTTGGGGTCTGAATTGTCTCTCTGGTAAAGGATTGGGGGTCTGAACAGTCTCTCTGGTAAAGGATTGGGGGTCTGAACAGTCTCTCTGGTAAAGGATTGGGGGTCTAAACTGTCTCTTTGGTAAAGGATTGGGGGTCTAAACTGTCTCTTTGGTTAAGGGTTGGGGGGGGGGTCTGAACAGTCTCTCTGGTAAAGGATTTGAAGTCTGAACAGTCTCTTTGGTAAAGGATTTGGAGTCTGAACAGTCTCTCTGGTAAAGGATTGGGGGTCTAAACTGTCTCTTTGGTAAAGGGTTGGGGGGTCTGAACTGTCTCTCTTGAAAAGGGTTTGGGGTCTTAACTGTCTCCTGGTAAAGTTTTGGGTTCTGAACTGTCTCTGGTAAATGGTTTGTGGTCTGAACTGTCTCTCTGGTAAAGGGTTGGGGGTCTGAACTGTCTCTCTGGTAAAGTGTTGGGGGTCTGAACTGTCTCTCTGGTAAAGGGTTGGGGGTCTGAACTGTCTCTCTGGTATAAGGTTGGTGGTCTAAACTGTCTCTCTGGTAAAGTGTCGGGGGTCTGAACTGTCTCTCTGGTATAAGGTTGGTGGTCTAAACTGTCTCTCTGGTAAAGTGTTGGGGGTCTGAACTGTCTCTCTGGTATAAGGTTGGTGGTCTAAACTGTCTCTCTGGTAAAGTGTTGGGGGTCTGAACTGTCTCTCTGGTAAAGTGTCGGGGGTCTGAACTGTCTCTCTGGTATAAGGTTGGTGGTCTAAACTGTCTCTCTGGTAAAGTGTTGGGGGTCTGAACAGTCTCTCTGGTAAAGCGTTAGGGGTCTGAAATGTCTCTCTGGTATAGGGTTGGTGGTCTGAACTGTCTCTCTGGTAAAGTGTTGGGGGTTTGAACTGTCTCTCTGGTAAAGGGTTTGGGGTCAAAACTGTCTCTCTGGTAAAGGGTTGGGGGTCTGAACTGTCCCTGATATAGGGTTGGGTTCTGAACTGTCACCATGGTTATAGACCAGTACATTCATATCTATAAAATATTGAATGGCCATAACCTTTAAATTTTGATAAAGTTCCATCCAGCAGCTCAAAAAAAGTCATTCAAGTTGTGATTCAAGGATGAAAGTGTGGGCTTGACTCTTGGCAAAATCCTAGTAGTACACCTGAACATGTTATGATCTCTTTATAGCCTTCCATTACATAATGGTCAAAACATAGAGTCTTCAACTCAACATCAGAGTGCATTGTGCGTTACATAAGGTATATGAAGTTATGAAAGATTTGAAGAAAAGGGACTTGTACCTTTGGTGTAACTTCTGTTCGTCCACATATTTACAGTACTGTTGTGTGTCAAATTCTATAATTCATCTAATTACACTCCTCATATTACTTCATCCTTCACTGTGATAATCATCAAATTTTACTTACTGTGTAAAATATTTCTTTGAAGTAGCTCATCCTGGGTAGGCCGTAAGCTCAGTCGCCTAGCAACAGAAAACAGGCAATTAATCAATTGCTTTGATGAATAATGACCATCACCACAGATCCTCTAGTTGATCTGTTTAGGGTTCAGTTCCTTACTTAAACAATACAGGAATTACTAGGACATCTGTGTAGTTGTCTACATACTTCAGCCAACCAGGTGGCCATCACCAGGACAAAGGTATGAGTGTGGTACCAACAGTATACGTAATGATCAGATACATAACATCATAACAAAATAAACCATTAATTTTCGTGGGGGAATTTATTTTCAGGGATTTCATGGTTGCTCTTAATCCACAGATTCATATGTCCGCAAACTTCTGAAATAAAAGTATGTAGATAAATTCAGCTTTATTTATCCATGAAACAGGTTTTGTTTTTGAAAAGCCACAAAAATTAAACCCCTTGAAAATATGATGATAATAACTACAGTAAAATTCCAAACATGTTGTGGGTATTAATGATACTAAGTAGAGTTGCTGGAAGCTCATCATTAACAACAATGTCTGCTAAAGTTAACAGCCTAAAATGTTTGGTAAGTTATTACAAATGTCCCTTCTGTCATACTATACACAGCACAGTATATAGGATGGGTTATACTATATACAACACAGTACATAGGGTTGGTTATACTATACACAGCACAGTATATAGGATGGGTTATACTATATACAACACAGTACATAGGGTTGGTTATACTATACACAGCACAGTATATAGGATGGGTTATACTATACACAACACAGTATATATGATGGGTCATACTATACACAACACAGTATATAGGATGGGTTATACTATACACAACACAGTATATAGGATGGGTTATACTATATACAACACAGTATATAGGATTGGTTATACTATACACAACACAGTATATAGGATGGGTTATACTATATACAACACAGTATATAGGATGGGTCATACTATACACAACACAGTATATAGGGTTGGTTATACTATACACAACACAGTATATAGGGTTGGTTATACTATACACAACACAGTATATAGGATGGGTTATACTATACACAACACAGTATATAGGATGGGTCATACTATACACAACACAGTATATAGGGTTGGTTATACTATACACAACACAGTATATAGGGTTGGTTATACTATACACAGCACAGTATATAGGATGGGTTATACTATATACAACACAGTACATAGGGTTGGTTATACTATACACAGCACAGTATATAGGATGGGTTATACTATATACAACACAGTACATAGATGGGTCATACTATACACAACACAGTATATAGGATGGGTTATACTATACACAACACAGTATATAGGATGGGTTATACTCTACACAACACAGTATATAGGATTGGTTATACTATACACAACACAGTATATAGGATGGGTTATACTATATACAACACAGTATATAGGATGGGTCATACTATACACAACACAGTATATAGGGTTGGTTATACTATACACAACACAGTATATAGGGTTGGTTATACTATACACAACACAGTATATAGGATGGGTTATACTATATATAGGATTGGTTATACACAACACAGTATATAGGATGGGTCATACTATACACAACACAGTATATAGGGTTGGTTATACTATACACAACACAGTATATAGGGTTGGTTATACTATACACAACACAGTATATAGGATGGGTTATACTATACACAACACAGTATATAGGATGGGTACTATACACAACACAGTATATAGGGTATACTATACACAACACAGTATATAGGATATACTATACACAACACAGTATATAGGATGGGTTATACTATACACAACACAGTATATAGGATGGGTTATACTATACACAACACAGTATATAGGATTGGTTATACTATACACAACACAGTACATAGGGCTGGTTATACTATACACAACACAGTATATAGGATTGGTTATACTATACACAACACAGTATATAGGATGGGTTATACTATATACAACACAGTACATAGGATGGGTTATACTATACACAACACAGTACATAGGATGGGTTATACTATACACAACACAGTACTATAGTACATAGGATGGGTTATACTGTACACAACACAGTATATAGGATGGGTCATACTATACACAACACAGTATATAGGGTGGGTTATACTATACACAACACAGTATATAGTATTGGTTATACTATACACAGCACAGTATATAGGATTGGTCATACTATATACAACACAGTATATAGGATGGGTTATACTATACACAACACAGTATATAGGGTTGGTTATACTATACACAACACAGTATATAGGATGGGTTATACTATACACAACACAGTATATAGGATGGGTTATACTATACACAACACAGTATATAGGATGGGTTATACTATACACAACACAGTATATAGGATGGGTTACTATACAACACAGTATATAGGGTTGGTTATACTATACACAACACAGTATATAGGATGGGTCATACTATACACAACACAGTATATAGGGTTGGTTATACTATACACAACACAGTATATAGGATGGGTTATACTATATACAACACAGTACATAGGATGGGTTATACTATACACAACACAGTATATAGGATGGGTCATACTATACACAACAGTGTATATAGGGTTGGTTATACTATACACAACACAGTATATAGGATGGGTTATACTATACACAATACAGTATATAGGATTGGTTATACTATACACAGCACAGTATATAGGATTGGTCATACTATATACAACACAGTATATAGGATGGGTTATACTATACACAACACAGTATATAGGATGGGTTATACTATATACAACACAGTATATAGGATTGGTTATACTATACACAACACAGTATATAGGATGGGTTATACTATATACAACACAGTACATAGGATGGGTTATACTATACACAACACAGTATATAGGATGGGTCATACTATATACAACACAGTACATAGGATGGGTTATACTATACACAACACAGTATATAGGATGGGTTATACTATATACAACACAGTACATAGGATGGGTTATACTATACACAACACAGTATATAGGATGGGTTATACTATATACAACACAGTACATAGGATGGGTTATACTATACACAACACAGTATATAGGATGGGTTATACTATATACAACACAGTACATAGGATGGGTTATACTATACACAACACAGTATATAGGATGGGTCATACTATACACAACACAGTATATAGGGTTGGTTATACTATACACAACACAGTATATAGGATGGGTCATACTATACACAACACAGTATATAGGATGGGTCATACTATACACAACACAGTATATAGGATGGGTTATACTATATACAACACAGTACATAGGATGGGTTATACTATACACAACACAGTATATAGGATGGGTCATACTATACACAACACAGTATATAGGGTTGGTTATACTATACACAACACAGTACATAGGATGGGTTATACTATACACAACACAGTATATAGGATGGGTCATACTATACACAACACAGTATATAGGGTTGGTTATACTATACACAACACAGTATATAGGATTGGTCATACTATACACAACACAGTATATAGGATGGGTTATACTATACACAACACAGTATATAGGATGGGTTATACTATATACAACACAGTATATAGGATTGGTTATACTATACACAACACAGTATATAGGATTGGTTATACTATACACAGCACAGTACATAGGATGGGTCATACTATACACAACACAGTATATAGGATTGGTTATACTATACACAGCACAGTACATAGGATGGGTCATACTATACACAGCACAGTACATAGGATGGGTTATACTATACACAGCACAGTACATAGGATGGGTCATACTATACACAGCACAGTACATAGGATGGGTTATACTATACACAGCACAGTACATAGGATGGGTCATACTATACACAACACAGTATATAGGATTGGTTATACTATACACAGCACAGTACATAGGATGGGTTATACTATATACAACACAGTACATAGGATGGGTTATACTATACACAACACAGTATATAGGATGGGTCATACTATACACAACACAGTATATAGGGTTGGTTATACTATACACAACACAGTATATAGGATGGGTTATACTATATACAACACAGTACATAGGATGGGTTATACTATACACAACACAGTACATAGGATGGGTCATACTATACACAACACAGTATATAGGGTTGGTTATACTATACACAACACAGTATATAGGATGGGTTATACTATACACAACACAGTATATAGGATTGGTTATACTATACACAGCACAGTATATAGGATTGGTCATACTATATACAACACAGTATATAGGATGGGTTATACTATACACAACACAGTATATAGGATGGGTTATACTATATACAACACAGTATATAGGATTGGTTATACTATACACAACACAGTATATAGGATGGGTTATACTATAAACAACACAGTAAATAGGATGGGTTATACTATACACAACACAGTATATAGGATGGGTTATACTATAAACAACACAGTACATAGGATGTTATACTATACACAACACAGTATATAGGATGAGTTATACTATATACAACACAGTACATAGGATGGGTTATACTATACACAACACAGTATATAGGATGGGTTATACTATATACAACACAGTACATAGGATGGGTTATACTATACACAACACAGTATATAGGATGGGTTATACTATATACAACACAGTACATAGGATGGGTTATACTATACACAACACAGTATATAGGATGGGTCATACTATACACAACACAGTATATAGGGTTGGTTATACTATACACAACACAGTATATAGGATGGGTCATACTATACACAACACAGTATATAGGATGGGTCATACTATACACAACACAGTATATAGGATGGGTTATACTATATACAACACAGTACATAGGATGGGTTATACTATACACAACACAGTATATAGGATGGGTCATACTATACACAACACAGTATATAGGGTTGGTTATACTATACACAACACAGTACATAGGATGGGTTATACTATACACAACACAGTATATAGGATGGGTCATACTATACACAACACAGTATATAGGGTTGGTTATACTATACACAACACAGTATATAGGATGGGTCATACTATACACAACACAGTATATAGGATGGGTTATACTATACACAACACAGTATATAGGATGGGTCATACTATATACAACACAGTATATAGGATTGGTTATACTATACACAACACAGTATATAGGATTGGTTATACTATACACAACACAGTATATAGGATGGGTTACTATACACAACACAGTATATAGGATGGGTTATACTATACACAACACAGTATATAGGATGGGTCATACTATACACAACACAGTATATAGGATGGGTTATACTATACACAGCACAGTACATAGGATGGGTCATACTATACACAGCACAGTACATAGGATGGATTATACTATACACAGCACAGTACATAGGATGGGTTATACTATACACAGCACAGTACATAGGATGGGTCATACTATACACAACACAGTATATAGGATTGGTTATACTATACACAGCACAGTACATAGGATGGGTCATACTATACACAGCACAGTACATAGGATGGGTTATACTATACACAACACAGTATATAGGATGGGTCATACTATACACAACACAGTATATAGGATTGGTTATACTATACACAGCACAGTACATAGGATGGGTCATACTATACACAACACAGTATATAGGATTGGTTATACTATACACAGCACAGTACATAGGATGGGTCATACTATACACAGCACAGTACATAGGATGGGTTATACTATACACAACACAGTATATAGGATGGGTCATACTATACACAGCACAGTATATAGGATTGGTTATTATTGGTCGATGGATTCTTAGCTTTGTACAGCTGTTATGACTGCTCATTGCTACATGGTTATCACAAGAATCAACAGCCAAAATGTTAATTAGAACACTGAAGCCATTATCTATTGCATCAATTACATGCTTTTATGTGATACATATAAGGGTTCCTTAAATTTTGCTTTTATTGGCTATAGAGATGAGTTCTGACTATCGACCGCAACCAAGACAAAAAAATCACGAATGAATAATTATATTGTACACATAACATAAATGTAAATTGTGTATACATTAACAGTTGTCCTATGCTAAGGCTTCTAACCAAGTGTGAAATAAAAGAAATTACACTCAAGATTTGAATTTTCCTACGGTATATAAAATCTTCCGTCCAGGAACAGTGGAACCATCTTTGAAATTTCAGTTTGACCAATTCACAATTTTAATAAAGCACTGTAAGAAACATCCATCCATGAAGAGTATTTGATTCTACATTATCTGGGAAATGAGAAGAAGATCTTTTAAATTTCAGTAACTTTGACCAATTTTTGGCCCCGTCCATCAGCCCCTGGGGATTAGTCGAGGTCAATATGTGCATCTCATTTGACTGTTGTCTTAAACTAATTATTCAAACCAAGTTTGAACTATTTCCTATAGAAAATAAACAATGTTCAATAACGTAATTTTCCTATATAAACTGGGTAAATGTAAGCCCCTCCCCTGGGAGAAATGTGAGACCCTGAGGTCATGAAATTAAAAATTTTGTAAACCATCAATATGCTTTTCCATCCATGAAGAGTACTAATTGATTCTACCCTACCTGGGATTTGAGAAGAAGATTTTTGAAGTTTCAATCAATTTGACACTTTTTTGGCCCCATCCATCAGCCCCTGGGGGTTGGAGACCACATAATTTACAATTCTGGTGCATCTTAAACCACAGAAGTTTTATGTAAAATTTCACTGAAATCAGTTTAGGAGTTTTCCTGAAGTTGAAAATATTAAAAGTGTACAGCACACAACACCGGACAAAAGGTGATGGCAATAGTTCTCCCTGAGACTTTGTCTCTGGTGACCTAAAAATCCCGACCTATTAACCCAAATTTTTTCATCAGGCAGAAACCAGCTCAAACGCTGATTGTTTTCCCCTTGTTATTAATGTAAACTTGTGTCAAAAGACAATAATCAGGTCACCAAAGGTCACATATCAAACAAGAGGCCCAAGGCTTAAGGCTCATTTGACTATAAAGACCTATATATGACAGAGGCCAAATAGATCCAAAATAAATTGCTAAACTACACTACAGCTTACACAGAATACATTGGTTGGTTCTAAAGTTATTTCTGTAAAACTTGAAATCATAATCTTTATACATGCACATGTTTCTACGGATGGAGGGACAATCTGATTTCAGCGTATCCTCCCTTACTCCCATATTTCACACTCATTTGATACTCATTGATCTCTGTTTTATCACCAATGTATGCACAATAACATTTTGGTAATGATTTGCCATGCAACCTACAGTAAACATGCGAGGAGACATCATATAACACAGGGTTAAAATCAAACAGTCAATTATGGTTTAATTGAAAGTCTGTGTTGACTTAACGACATATCAATTAAGTAATTTTGTGTTTCTTTGAACATCCTGTCATCTTGCATCCTATTGCCCCACCTACTGAAGCATTTCGAATTTTCAGCGGCATTGAGACTTTAATTTTGTTTTCATATGATACAAATAATTTATCTTTAATAAGTGATCCCTACCTTTTTTGTGCCCAGTATATTAATGAGGTATGTATGAAAACGTTATCATCTGATTTAATGACTGAAAAAAAAAACCCAATAGCATTATCACAACTTAAGTGAAATGTTGTGACACTAAATTTACCTACATGGTAGATATATACTAAATTTACCTACCTGGTAGATATATACCCAATTTTGTGAAATGTTGTTACCTACCTGGTAGATATATACACAATTTTGTGAAATGTTGTGACACTAAATTTACCTACCTGGTAGGTATATACCCAATTTTGTGAAATGTTGTGACACTAAATTTACCTACCTGGTAGATATACGCCCAATTTTGTGAAATGTTGTGACACTAAATTTACCTACCTGGTAGATATATACCCAATTTTGTGAAATGTTGTGACACTAAATTTACCTACCTGGAAGATATATGCCCAATTTTGTGAAATGTTGTGACACTAAATTTACCTACGTGATAGATATATGCTAAATGTCGTAACATAATTTACCTGGTTAACTTATGGCCTATGTTGAATCTCTGAACCTGCTTCTGGTCCTCTGTCTCCGAGGGGATGATGTTTTTCTCCACCAGGTCATGATGTGATGGTCGATTACTTAAAAACCTAGCTAAACTATCCTGTCTGGCAACTTTTGCTGCTAAAGAACCTGAAAAACAAAACAGCTTAAATCTGATTGGGTTCAATGATAAAACACTTAAGATGTTTCAACAGTTAAGGTCACAAAAATAACAAAACTATATATTTCAATTTCTCCCGCAAAATTTCAGCTCAACACCACCAGAAGAACAGGGTGGCCATAATCATCATATTGAATTTCAGGCAGACCCTTGATCAGGACCATCTCAGGATCATTTCAGGCAGACCCTTGATCAGGACCATCTCAGGATCATTTCAGGCAGACCCTTGACCAGGACCATCTCAGGATCATTTCAGGCAGACCCTTGATCAGGACCATCTCAGGATCATTTCAGGCAGACCCTTGATCAGGACCATCTCAGGATCATTTCAGGCAGACCCTTGATCAGGACCATCTCAGGATCATTTCAGGCAGACCCTTGATCAGGACCATCTCAGGATCATTTCAGGCAGACCCTTGATCAGGACCATCTCAGGATCATTTCAGGCAGACCCTTGATCAGGACCATCTCAGGATCCTGTTTAAAGTTTAAAGTTGATGTCATTCAGTAAAACCATAACTGCACAATCATGTTACAAAACATATGCCATAGGCACGTTAGTGATAATAAGCTTTTACTTGGCTTGTGAGAAATGCATACACACCTAACACAAATTAACATTTACATAAGTCAGAACTCTTTTTTAAGTGAAGTCTACAAACAAATATGGTGTATTCTTTGCAAATTCATGTGGGACAGCAAGGAAATCAAGTGTTTTTTTTATCCTTTTCCACCCCAAACATTTGCCATAACTGGACATGACAATGCAGTCAAATGAACGACCATGTTAAAGAACAACCATATTTAATGGCTGGAGCAGGCCTATATACTTAGTGATATAAATTCTGCATTATGGGGCTTGAATTTGAGAAATGATTGGCCATCCCTAATGATGTTTTATCCAAAATCTGGTTGAAGTCCATATTAGGAAAAGAAGTGTTTTGGGTAAAATGACAAAAACTGAAAATAATGAAAAAGTAAAAAAAAGAGAGTTACTTCCCTTTACCTAAACTAAACAATATTTTTCTTCCTCTACAATTAACTTCCTCATTTGAAGGAAATTCAGAGTTATACCTCTTTACTTTTTCCTAATACTCTTCATAAAGTTTCATGCAAATTCTGTTAACTTTCATTTACATTAGTAATTTAAAACAAATTTGCCAATTCTATGAGTTATTTGTTAGATTTGATAGATTCAGTGAAATTAAAACAAGGTCCAATACCATGAAACACGAGCATCATACAGTAGATTCTACATTAGACACGCTATATTCAGGAATATAACTGGTCAGTATATTACAAACATGGATTAAGACAATGAATCAGAATTCTATATCTGTTATTACTTGTCTCCATCTCATCCTCGTCATCATCACGGTACTTGATTTCTTCATCGTCAGATGAAGAGTCATCATAGGAGTGTTGCTGTGTGGATGAGTTGGGTGTGTTTTGGAAAGACACTGGTGAGGGAACTACTGGCATCGACACAGGGATTGGGGTGTTTTCCTTATCACTATCCCCTCCTGTTGGTGTGGGAACATGCCTGCAACCAGAAATATATCATCTTTACAACAAACTCATGCCTGTGTCATCTTGTTATATAAGGAATATCTAAAGTTATGTTCTTTTCAAAAGGATAGCCTACTCGTATGAGTATTGCATTTGAAAGAGGACCTGATTCTACTGTCATTTATTGGACATAATTCACTCCTAATACATATATCAAATAAAACCAAAGGCCAGAATAGAAGAATATTGGGACCAGCTGCATTTTAGCCAGTGAAATGTAGGAATATATCAGTTTGATGAAAATTTTCAATCTTATATCTTTTCAGTGATGATATAACTTTTGAAGTTTTGACAAGTTATAATGTTATTTTCTAGTCACCATAGTCTAGTAATAGAGTGTGTTATCAATTTTTAACTGGTGACAGCACAAAGTGATAAAATACCACATAAAGCAACCTAACTAAAATGGTGTCTTCTTGTTGTCAAGTGTACCTTCCAACTTTATGTCAAAGAATGTGCAAATACTTCCCGAAGTTTTTTAAACACTGATTTATTATATATTTAGACTGTATTTTTTCATTTGTTTTTCTTTTGAAAATGTAATAAAGAGAAACACAAATGATTTTCTGATAAGTATCATGTATATTTCACTTGTATGTATCTATGTTTTTCACTCATGTTTCGTACCTATGAAAAATATAGACAATCTGTACATACTTGTGAAATATGTGATATTAAATGTGAAAAATTTAAATATCCTCGACTATCTTAATAAAAGTAAAAAAATGATTTAATTAGCACTTTTATAGAAATAGTGATAAACTTTCATTGTTAAAATCCAAGATGGCAACCTGTCAGCCATTTCATTTTTCAATTAGTCCCAAAATAAAAAGGGCACAACTAGCCATAAGGGGAACATATATATAAAATTTGACAAATCCATCCAATATTTCTCATAAAGTAGCAATAACTGTCTGAGAAATATCCTGCTGGTACATATAAAAAAATAACGGTAGTAAGGATCATTTATGGATGGAGAGAAAAAGACAGAAGGACAAAAGTTGACAAAAAACAGACCATAGATGCAAGGCAATTTAAAGTTTGTGAAAAAAAAAAATCTATTGACACTTCAGTTTAATTAAACTTCAAGAGTCAACATTATCCAAGTTGGTAATACAGAAGTGATAAAGTCCCTCAATACTGTCCAAACTTTCTCAACACTTACACAAATCCTGCTCTAAGCCGAGGCCGGCCTATATTGCCAGTGAGGGGTGTGGCTAGTGGAGAAGGCTTCGGCTGCTGATCGATGTTCTTAACACTAAGTGTACTACTGCTGTCTATTTGTGATGAAGGCTCTGGCGTCACAGGAACATCACCATTCAGTTCAAATCTGGACTTCAAAGCACTTTTTTTAGGTTGTTTATTCAGATCCGGTTCAGAAGCAGGGACCTGTTCAAAGCCAGGGTTCAAGTTCGATTCCGGTTCACTCTTCTCTGGTTCTGTCACATCTAGGTCACCTACAGCAAATAAGATTACATGTCAAGTTCACAGAGTTTTAGATGAAATATCAAGTCTGCATTAGACTGTTGAATGCTGACCATGCAGTAGGATGAAAAATTCAAGGGTCTGTGACTGAGCTCTTAAATTCTAAGAGTCAAATCAAAAGAGATCCCACAGGGACCATCATGGTCTGTATTCATCCTTTAACAGATGATTTCCCTTCTTTTCTATTCTTTCCTCCATCTTTTAATTTTCACAATAGAATAGTGAGAAATCCTTTTAAGATATGATGAAAATATTAACAAGATGTCCATGGGCATGAACTGTCACCTGACGTCTTCAGGTCTTTGGACAGTTTTAGAATCTGTCCATCAGTCCCAGCATTTGGGTAGGCAGAACTGAACTGATATATGCAAACTTCCAAAGTTTCTATTGTTTCTAAATTTGAAGGCTTAATTTTCAATGAAACGGAACTGGAAACATTGTCTGTTGTTGTAGTTTAGCATATTTGACCCCTGTGTGCCTCTGAATAAAGGTCAAAGTCATTCATATGATGAAAAAAAACCAAAAACCGATAGCCCTTCACCTTAATATGCTACTGGCCCAATATCAATATTTTAACACATTTGACCCCTGTGACCTTAATTAAGGTTAAGGTCATTCATTTGAACAAACTTGGTAGCCATTTATCCCAGCATGCTACTGGCCCAATACTATGACCCTAGGCCTTTTGAGAAGAAGTCAAAAATATATATTGTTTACGATGGACGACTGACCACATCGGACAAGACTATTGCAATATGTCACTTGAGACCATTTTTAATAATCTTTAACTGCTATATATATCCTGACAACAAAATATGTAATGTGAATGATTAACACTACCCATCTGAAGTTGCTGCATTGATCATGTGAGGTTATTTAGGTTGCCAACAAGTAAAATCAACATGAAATATTATATCCATACCTTGATCAATGTATATTTAATATAAGCACATCAAATGCTTAGTTCCTGTTCTAAGAACAGAGTTGAACTGAAGGCAGAATAGATTACTGTACTGCTATGTTCAGTTTGGTTTATAATATCAGTCATCATCATTTTATAAATTATCATAATTTGCCAGTTAAAAGATAAAATGTTACCCAGTTCCTTTATATGTGGTTATAATTGTGCTGCATGAAAAACAAAACAATCATGTGACAATCATGTGACAATCACATGTCCCATAAGTCATGCCACCTAAATTTAGTTACAATATAATTATGTAATATTCCATCTTGATTTGTCAATGTGTGTTATGAAGTCATTGTGAGTTGGAATTAACTGAAATATGAGTACTTTTTACCATGACAGTGTCATTTATGTCTAGACAGAAGTTCAGGAAATAGATTTCTCATTAGTAGTTTTGGGTGATAATTTAGCAATGTAAACATTTCATGAATTGGTAACCTGGAAACTTACTCAAATCTTCCTCCTCCTCTTCATCATCATCATCAGGGAGATGATTGTCCGAGATAATCTGTTCTTTAGCAACAAATTGGACTGTACTGGGTTGTTGCACCTCCATGGTAATGGAAGGTCTGGGGGCTGGGATTGGCGGGTCCTGAGGTACTTGAGAAGCAGCAGCAGGTATAATCATCGGCCTGGCATTGGCTGTTGTGAGAACTGTAATAGTTAAAACAGGAAGGCTTTATATAAAGGAAACAAAGGAAAATTAAGTGATATCAAAATACATGTGCTAACTTACTGCTTATTATGTGTGATATCAGAGATGAGTGATATTATATCAATATTCTATAATAAAATGTATACAGAGCTGTCAGCTGCACCATATTTCAAAGAAAACAGCAATAAACAGGTGCTATGGTGATCTCAGCTAAAGATCTATACACAACAATCAAGGTTAACAGGTGCTATGATGATCTCAGCTAAAGATCTATACACAACAATCAAGGTTAACAGGTGCTATGATGATCTCAGCTAAAGATCTATACACAACAATCAAGGTTAACAGGTGCTATGATGATCTCAGCTGAAGATCTATACACAACAATCAAGGTTAACAGGTGCTATGATGATCTCAACTAAAGATCTATACATAACAATCAAGGTTAACAGGTGCTATGATGATCTCAGCTGAAGATCTATACACAACAATCAAGGTTAACAGGTGCTATGAGAATAAGTTGCTTACACATTTCAACACATTTGACCCCTGTGACCTTGACAGAGGGTCAAAGTCATTCATATCAGCAAAGCCCTTCATCCTTTCATGCCACAGGCCCAATATCAATACCCTGAGCCTTCTGGTTATTGAGAAGTCATTTGAATCAAAAGTATTATAAATGGCGGATGGCATACCACAAATGAAACATGATGGCTATAGTTTGGATAACGTTCGGTTCAGATGTCCTAACAACAGATATAACAACTGGTTTCTATTCACCAGTTCTTGTACTGATGTGAGTGACCTTGGCCTGTGTTGTAATAGTGGTAGATTCTAGAGCCTCAGGATCAACAGACCCTGTACTACAGTTCCTACCTGGGTTACTGATTTGTGTACTGGTGGGGGTGATCTGGGCCTGTGTTGTAATAGTGGTAGATTCTAGAGCCTCAGGATCAACAGACCCTGTACTACAGTTCCTACCTGGGTTACTGATTTGTGTACTGGTGGGGGTGATCTGGGCCTGTGTTGTAATAGTGGTAGATTCTGGAGCTTCAGGAGCTGCCACCTCCTCTTCCTCCTTCCTGTCTGGGATGGGAGAGTCTGTACTTGATTCCTCCTTCTGATCCTCTGCCTCCCCTCTCTCCTTCACTGCTTCTGTAAAACACACAAACAACTTCATTAACAAGTGACCTTGGGACCTTCATGCTCAACTGAGCTCCACAAAAATAGTTATTTCCTTGCAGAAACTATAGTTTACCTCATCAATATAAATCAATATTGTATAATTTCATATGCACATCTTATTACAATGTAATGTAAAAAGATGATTTATAGGTCACCATAGGTCACAGGTCAAATACGTCATCAATATCAATTAATATTTTATACCTTTTATTGGCACATTTAATAACAATGCAAACTATTTTCATTCCCTATATCAACTTGAACTGTCATCCTGTAGAAAATTATTTACTTCCACAGATGTAAATCTTCTATGAAAAATTGTTTTAGTTTCAGTTCAGTGACCTCGAAGTTTTATGTAAGACCTTGAATTTTTCTAACCATAAACCATTCTCTTGTCAAATGCTGCAGGGAGTATTTGATAAGTGCATGCATATCTACATATGGTTCCTAATATTCCCGTGTCATTTCATACACACACCTCATAAGGATAGCGTAGCTTTCTAAAAAAGATTTTGACCAACCACAGGTCTTTCTTTGGTTACCATTGTAATCACTTCAGGATAACCTACATATTAGAAAATAGCAATAATGTATTTGACCACCCATATACCAATTTTATAATCAAAACATTGAGAGCACTTATGGATGCTGTTTGATGGGCTTAAATACAAAAGAATGAACTAAGCGGTATACCAGTATGGAAAGACAGGCAAAAAAAAAAAAAAAACTGGAGAAAGCATGTCAGTGTCCCCTATTCATCATATAAACTTGGATTTTTTCACTATCATTCATTTGTTTTAATAAATGAAACAGAGTTCAATGACAAATGGTTGCAAAATTATGCTCTTTAGTGGTCAGCCATGCTGTTGATGTATAGAGAGGTTCTAGACATCTAGTCTTACACTGATGAGATAATTAGGACTAGAGGAAATAACTGATCAGGCATGACTTAAATCTGTAACCATGGACAACGTGATCACTTAGAGGGGTGTGGCCACATACAATGACTCAAGCATGACTTAAATCTGTAACCATGGACAACGTGATCACTTAGAGAGGTGTGGCCACATACAATGACTCAAGCATGACTTAAATCTGTAACCATGGACAACGTGATCACTTAGAGGGGTGTGGCCACATACAATGACTCAAGCATGACTTAAATCTGTAACCATGGACAACGTGATCACTTAGAGGGGTGTGGCCACATACAATGACTCAAGCATGACTTAAATCTGTAACCATGGACAACATGATCACTTAGAGGGGTGTGGCCACATACAATGACTCAAGCATGACTTAAATCTGTAACCATGGACAACGTGTCACTTAGGCCACATACAATGACTCAAGCATGACTTAAATCTGTAACCATGGACAACGTGATCACTTAGAGGGGTGTGGCCACATACAATGACTCAAGCATGACTTAAATCTGTAACCATGGACAACGTGATCACTTAGAGGGGTGTGGCCACATACAATGACTCAAGCATGACTTAAATCTGTAACCATGGACAACGTGATCACTTAGAGGGGTGTGGCCACATACAATGACTCAAGCATGACTTAAATCTGTAACCATGGACAACGTGATCACTTAGAGGGGTGTGGCCACATACAATGACTCAAGCATGACTTAAATCTGTAACCATGGACAACGTGATCACTTAGAGGGGTGTGGCCACATACAATGAGCATGATATGAGCTCAGAAGGAACACAGTAGTAGACTCTCACAAAGAATAGTTTATAGTGTTCATGAGAATTTCAATTGATGAACAGTTATTGTAATTAAGTACTGACAACAGAACACTTTTTTACTCAATTAGTTATATAATTGATTGTTCTTGTGACCAATGATATTACATCTACTCTATGTAAATCTGAGCACTACATGCATTTTTTGGTTCATACATACACATTGTATATGTAAAACTGATGAGTCCTACCCATACTAAATATGTAGAAGTTGAGAGTACAGGTCACCAAACTAGCCTTGGTGTGTGGAAGTTTCTGATGAGTCAAGCAGTAAAACATCTAGTAAACATTTTTGGTGTCCTAGTTTTAATCCTGGTATAGCTATGGTGTCCCATGCTTAATCCTGGTATACAGTATTGGTGTCCCTGGTTTAACCCAGGTATATAGTTCTGGTGTCCAAAGTTTTAATCTGGTAAACATTTTTGGTGTCCATGGTTCAATCCTGGTATAGCTATGGTGTCCCAGGTTTTAACCAGGTATACAGTTATGGTGTCCCAGGTTTTAACCAGGTATACAGTTATGGTGTCCTAGGTTTTAACTTTGTATACAGTTATGGTGTCCTAGGTTTTAACCTTGTATACAGTTATGGTGTCCTAGGTTTTAACCAGGTATACAGTTATGGTGTCCTAGGTTTTAATCTTGTATACAGTTATGATGTCCCAGGTTTTAACCTGGTATATATAATTGGTGTCCCAGGTTTAATCCAGGCATACTTATGGTCTCTTACCACTATTAGACTTCAGTCTGCAGTAAGGATCATTTTCTAGTGTCTCTGCAGCCACATGAATCAGGCATGTGTAAGTGTGACAGTACTGAACAATCAATGTATTACTCATCAGTGCAGCTCCATGTACATGTACTGGAATTAACAATAAAAGCCCCAAGGCCTTTTAGTCAGATGAGTTCCTCAACAACACTGGCTTATAGAACACACAATTTCAGAGAATTTCTTCAAAATTGTTCCATCCATGGTAATAATTCATTTCTATTAAGTATCTGCATCTACTTCAAGTTGTGGAGATTTTAACCTTTTCATTCAGTCCAACACTTTTTTTGTCAGACCCATTTTACCCCTGAGGATAATCAGCCAGATAAACTATCTGTATACCAATAAACTACCAACAGGGTCATTCCAATCAGTCTGTATTGACAGCCTAAGGTTCAGACCATCAGCCTGCATTGACAGATATGGAGTCTGGACCATTCCTGTCAGTCTGTATTGTCTGGACCACTCCTGTCAGTCTGTATTAACTGGACCATTCCTGTCAGTCTGTATTGTCTAGACCATTCCTGTCAGTCTGTATTGTCTAGACCACTCCTGTCAGTCTGTACTGTCTGAACCACTCCTGTCAGTCTGTATTGTCTGGACCACTCCTGTCAGTCTGTATTGTCTGGACCATTCCTTTCAGTCTATATTGTCTGGGCCACTCCTGTCTGCCTGTATTGTCTGGACCATTCCTTTCAGTCTGTATTGTCTGGACCATTCCTGTCAGTCTGTATTGTCTGGACCATTCCTGTCAGTCTGTATTGTCTAGACCACTCCTGTCAGTCTGTATTGTCTGGACCACTCCTGTCAGTCTGTATTGTCTGGACCATTCCTTTCAGTCTATATTGTCTGGGCCACTCCTGTCTGCCTATATTGTCTGGACCATTCCTGTCAGTCTGTATTGTCTGGACCATTCCTGTCAGTCTGTATTGTCTGGACCATTCCTGTCAGTCTGTATTGTCTGGACCACTCCTGTCAGCCTATATTGTCTGGACCACTCCTGTCAGTCTGTATTGTTTGGACCATTCCTGTCAGTCTGTATTGTCTGGACCATTCCTGTCAGTCTGTATTGTCTGGACCACTCCTGTCAGTCTGTATTGTCTGGACCATTCCTGTCAGTCTGTATTGTCTGGACCATTCCTGTCAGTCTATATTGTCTGGACTACTCCTGTCAGTCTGTATTGTCTGGACCATTCCTCTCAGTCTGTATTAACTGGACCATTCCTCTCAGTCTGTATTAACTGGACCATTCCTCTCAGTCTGTATTGACAGGCCTAGAATCTGGACTATTCCCATCAGTCTGTATTGACATAGCTATGGACTGGATCATTCCTTAAAATCTTTAATGACAGACCTAGGGTATTGATGATTCCTTTCAGTCTGTTTAGACACACTCCTGTCAGTCTGTATTGTTTGGACCATTACTGTCAGTCTGTATTGTCTTTACCATTCCAGTCAGTCTGTATTGTCTGGACCATTCCTGTCAGTCTGTATTGTCTGGATCATTCCTATCAGTCTGTATTGACAGACCTAGAGTGTGGGGACTATTCCTATTGGTCTGTATCAGACAGACCTAGGTTGTGGGGACCATTCCTGAAAGTCTGAATAAACAGACCTAAGGTCGGGACTATTCCTGAATGTTTGAATAGACAGACTTAAGGTCTGAACCATTCCTGAAAGTTTGAATAGACAGACTTAAGGTCTGGACCATTCGTAAAGTTTGAATAGACAGACCTAATGTCTGGACCATTCCTGAACGTTTGAATAGACAGACCTAATGTCTGGACCATTCCTGAAAGTTTGAATAGACAGACATAAGGTCTGGACCATTCCTGAAAGTTTGAATAGACAGACATAAGGTCTGGACCATTCCTGAAAGTTTGAATAGACAGACATAAGGTCTGGACCATTCCTTAAAGTTTGAATAGACTGACCTAAGGTCGGGACCATTCCTGAAAGTTTGAATAGACAGACATAAGGTCTGGACCATTACTGAAAGTCTGAATAGACAGACATAAGGTCTGGACCATTCCTGAAAGTTTGAATAGACAGACATAAGGTTTGGACCATTCGTAAAGTTTGAATAGACAGACCTAAGGTCTGGACCATTCCTGAAAGTCTGAATAGACAGACCTAATGTCTTAACCATTACATCAAAAATCTAGCTGCGCTGATGGTCTAGATAATCATTTAAATGGGATGATAAGACAGGGATTTATGAAGTGTATCTGTCTATATACATAAAAGACACTGTGAAGTGGTTTTTATGTGACAAATACCACACAAGGTTCGGTGACATCATTCAATATATACTCACTGAGTGCTGTGTGTACTGGAGCCTCCAAGTCTTGCTACAATCAACCACACTTACACTAAGTGGTACACAGAATACCAGTAATGTTGGTGAGCCAGGAAGAAGACTGTTAATTCCGTGTTGACTTGTC